TAAGTACCTACCTGTAGATCTTTTAACAAATCCCAAACTAAAACTGGCTTTAAATTAAGAAATTATCCAATTTGCAGAATAATACGTGAACTGGCCAAAAACTTATGTGGAGTACACGTTCCGTGGCCTGCCTGGCATGGTTTTTAATTGATGTTACATGCAACATATTTTTAATTTAACAAAGAAAGAGAACAAATGTGTTAAATGTTCGAAATTTGTGTGTGTGTTTCTTTGCTTGTGGAGTATTAATAGGTGCGTGGAGCTGGCGGGATCGAGGCCAGCGTGTCGTCGAGTGTATTGTCGATGACCTCGCGGTACTTAATGGTGGCGCATCCCTCGTCGCCCTGGGCAAAGGTAAGGGTGTGCTTGCGCCAGTGGTCCTCAAGTTTCTTCTTCTTCTGCCCCTCCAAGGGCTTGGCGTAGTCGAACTCGTCCAAGCGCACTTTGAAATCCTCGCGGGCATGGGAGCCACGCGACTCCTTGCGGTTCTCCATGGCGGTGATGATGTGCACCGCATTGGCCAGCATATTCTGCAGTTCGAGTGTCTCGACCAGGTCCGTGTTCCACACCATGCTGCGGTCCACCACCTTCACATCCTTGAATTGCTGGCACAGATCGGCCACCTTCAGCAGCCCCTCCTTGAGCAGCTTCCCCTCGCGGAAGACGGCCGCGTGGCCGGTCATCGTGCGCTGCAGCTCCATACGGAGCGTGGCCGTGGTAGTCTTGCCGTCGGCACAGCGAAGCTTCTTGAAGTTGTCCAGCGTCTCCTCGGTGGCCTTGTCGTCTACGTCCGGCGGCTTCTCGCCCGGACAGCTGTTGGCAGCGATGGCCAGGGCGCACGAGCGCCCGAATACGATCAGATCGAGCAGCGAGTTGGCGCCCAGGCGGTTGGCGCCGTGGACGGAGGCGCACGAAGTCTCGCCACAGGCGTAGAGACCCTCAACGGGCTTCTCCTCGCACTCCTCGACAGTCACCACGCGGCCCATAAAGTCCGTGGGAATGCCGCCCATGTTGTAGTGTACTGTGGGCAGCACCGGCACCGGCTCCTTGGTCACATCCACTTTGGCAAATATCTTGGCCGTGACCACGATGCCCGGCAGGCGCTCGTGTATGATCTTGGGATCGATGTGGTGCAGCTGCAGATGAACGTGGTCCTTCAGCGGGCCGCAGCCATTGCCTGCCAGCACCTCCATGGTCATGGCGCGGGCCACCACATCGCGGGAGGCGAGATCCTTTGCGGTGGGGGCATAGCGTTCCATGAAGCGCTCCCCCTTGGAGTTCAAGAAGAAGCCTCCCTCGCCACGCACACCCTCAGTGATCAGGCAGCCGGCGCCGTACATGCCCGTGGGATGGAACTGCACGAATTCCATGTCCTGCAGAGGCAGCTTCTGGCGCGATATCCAGGCGTTGCCATCGCCAGTGCAGGTGTGTCCCGCTGTTGTCGAGAAGTAGACACGGCCACAGCCGCCGGCCGCCACCACCGTGTTGTTGGCAATGAAGCGGTGCATGGTGCCGTCGTCCAGTTTCCAGGCCAGGCAGCCCACACAGCGTCCCTTCACCATGATGAGGTCCATCACAAAGTAGTCGATGAAGTAGTGGCACAGATCGGCGAACTTGACCGTCTGCCCGTACAGCGTGTGGATGAGGGCGTGACCGGTGCGATCGGCCACAGCGCAGGCGCGACGTGCAACACCGCCCTTGCCATAGCCGAGTGTCTGGCCACCGAACGGCCGCTGGTATATCTTCCCGTCCTGCTTGCGGGAGAAGGGCATCCCGAACTGGTCCAGCTCGTAGACGGCATTCTCCGCCTCGCGGCACATGTAGTGGATGGCGTTCTGGTCGCCCAGCCAGTCGCTGCCCTTGACCGTGTCGTAGAAGTGGAACTTCCAGTCATCCTTGTCCATGTTGCTCAGGGCCGCATTCACTCCACCCTGGGCGGCCACTGTGTGGGAGCGTGTGGGGAACAGCTTCGAGATCAGTGCCGTCTTGAAGCCCTTCTCGGCCAGCCCGAAGCCAGCACGCATGCCTGCACCGCCAGCTCCAATCACGATGGCATCATACTTGTGATCGGTTATGGCGTAGTCCTCCTGGCAGCCGCGCATCGCTGCAGTTACATGAAGGCGACGCCCGCTTGTGGGCCAGAGTCTGGCAGTGGAGCGCTTCAACAGCGCATCGGAAAGGCGAAGCATTGTTTCAATTGACGTTCGACACGAGTTTGATTGGAAAAGTAGGAGTCCTCTACAACAAGCTAGTTTGTCCAAAATATACATATACCCTGTGGTACCTTTGGATATGCTGTCTCCACAAATCGAGCAATTATGCAAAGTACACTTTTCCACATTTTAATACTCGTGTGTTTTCAGAGTTGACTTTGTTTTGCCAGCTGCTGTTTGCCAAGTAACACCATTCCCCAGGCAAGCGTTCGATGAGCTTTAAGCTAGCCATTTCCATGGAAATCCTGCAGCAAGAAGATGAGCAGTATACCGCAGCCCACATTCGATGGCAGTGTCTATGGCCGTAAATATAGCGATGGCGATGGCCCAGAGCAAACAAGAGCGGTTCAGGCCTGGCCTGGCAAACACACTTAAGCGAGCTCTGGGCCAGGCCATATGCAAATGGGTCTGGGGTCTGGGGTCTGGGTCTGGTTTCGAGGCGGGGCAAACATAGCGGCGGCAACGGCGACGGCGGCGGACAGGCCCCGGCCGAGACCAGGGCTGCGCGAGGGCCCATCGGATGGATGGGAGGGCGAGCGGAGACGAGAGCAGAGGATAGCCTAACGAAAGACTTCAAACACGAACTCTATCTCTCTGTGTGGATTGTACTCGCATCGCCTTGGACACAGAACTTGGATTTTCCGACGGCTAATGGCCCTGTTCCGCGGCAAAGGATATATTTGCGTGTCCTGTGCAAACCGGTAGACCGTTCGGGCTCTGCTCTCGCGTGTTTGCGTTTATGTGTTTACAACGGCCTAATTGAGGCGGGGAAATTCGCTTAGGCGGCCATAAAATCGGATTGTTTGCAAACACGCGCAGAAAGGACGTAAGGATGGGCCATAAAGGACAACACAAAACGCCGCTACAATGCCCGTGCGGTGAGTATTTAGGGCAAGGCCGCGCTCCCGGAAAGGGTTGAGTTGAGAGACTGTGGAAACTGTGGAAACTGCGTTTCCGCGTAATACCGATCCTCCGGACGGGGCTCTTAATGAAAGTGCCGCGCCGCGACGCACCCGCGATCGCTTTAATGAATGGCGGTCCGAAAAAGGTAGCCGTCACGGGTGCGACAACTACATGAGTGTATTCAATTCGATTCACTTGTGTATCTGCCAGATACACTTCCCATCCCATTTCATCCCCCCATTTTCATGTATTTTTATTGAACTTCGGAGTCTGTTGATTTTTCCCATTTACTCGCGGGTTGTTGTAGACCCAAAATCGATAGCCATAGACACATGTACAAATGTATGCCTGCTGTTTGTCTTTCAGCGCCACAGAATGCTCAACTTTGTACCATTCCCATACCATAACACACCATCCTAATCTTAACTCTTAAATGGGATACCATCCGGTCACAAAAGTTGACTGGAGGAGGCGCGTGATGCCCTGAAACCACGAAAAAGCTATAAATACTCATAGTTGAAGAAATGAAAATAGCTATGAATATTTATTAAATGTTATTCCTCATCGAATCGAATCGAAACGAATCGAATTTTAGCCGCTCTCTTTCCTTCTGTTTTTTTGTTTCTTTCTGTTTTGACGCATTGCGCCAAGGCAGTCATGGGAAATAGTGAACCGATTCTGATTGTCTTGGGAAAATCACGAGGGCAGCATTTCCCGAAGCCTAAATATAAAAATCTTAAACGAAAATCGAATAATAATTAAGCTTAATGTTCTAAATCAGTTTCTGGTCTCGGATCAATGGGTGTTCTACGTAACCAATCAAATTTAAATAATTGTTCAGTTGATAAAGATATGACTAGTGCGGCAGCCCTTAAAAATTGAGTGATATTTGGCAGAGTACCGTCTTTATTTGATACCTCTACTTTATACTAAATATATGATGTAGTTGCTTGAGTTTCGGCCTCATACCCCGTTCCGATTCCGATGCAAAAAGCTCGTTCAACCGAGACTGGTCACGCACAGCCCCACAGTCTCCAACTCCGCCCCATGCACAGGCCGGGTCCCCCTGGCCTTCTCCTCTCATACATATTTTGGCCACATACACAAACTGACGTACGCGGTCAAGTGTTTACTACTCGAATTCAGCTGAAAATTCAACGAAATAACTCTTCTCTCCTCGCCGGACGACCGCTAAACCCGTTTTGGACGGAACGGACCTCGCGCTGCGACTCAGGTCCACAGCAAACAGACACCCATGGAAAAAATACAAAGTTTTAATTGGTTGCGCAAACAAAACACACACAAAACGAGCGTCTAAGCAAATCAAAGCCAGTCGGGGGACAGCAACTCCAGTTAGCCCCGTCAGAGGGCACTTGCGCGAGAATCGTATCCACTCCAGCCACGAAGATCTACTCTCTGCTCTCTCTCTCGTTCTCTTGTTGAAACACGTTTCACTTAATTATTGGCGCATGCAATGCAGATCCAGGCAGCTCCTTTGGGGTGGGGATCCAAGCTTGGACTCCGCCGGTGCACAGGGCCAGCGACTCGCCCCGAATGATATGGCCAAAACCTGATGGCTAGAAGCCTACCTGTTGCCAGGGTCCCAGCGATGGCCGCAGATCCGAGCGAGATGCCAGATCCCGCGCTGTGCGCTTACCTGTTGTTAGAGGTGTGGCCTAGCGAACGGGATCCGAACGAGCCGCGACCAAAGCGCTGGCCAGAGCGGGACGGCTCTATGGTCGAAGAGAGAGTAGACAGAATCACGGCCGAACATGGCCCAGAGCAATAGAGGAAGCGGCCAGGCAGCAGGCCAGGCCAGCGAGCGAGGCTTGTGATGGTGGAACAAATTAGCACCGATCGTCGATCATTAGCTCGGGAACGGTGGCAACGCAAACACACGCTCGGCGGCGAAAAACTCGGCGACTCGAAACGCAAAGCAAAAATAATAAATCAAGAAACGCGGTTAACACGGCTGTCGCGGCTGCCTGTCCTCCTCTGAGCCGATCCAAGTGGTACTGAGAAATATCTGACCAGATCTATTGAGCGTGAATATAACCATATCAAGCCCCCCAGGACTTGGTGATTGTGACTTGAAAGTGTCTTTGTGCGCGATCTGACAGTTTGCCAAACTTCAACGAGAGCTCCTCCACGGGATTACAACAGATACGCCGGACAAAGGCGGGGGCACTCTTCTACGAGTATATATGTAAGTTGATCCTAAAGTCTTCAGCAATAGGAAAGCATATATGTACGTTCTTTGGGTAACGTAGATCGCTTTTAAAAGTAGAGACAAGGTATACATTTTTACAGCTCAAATATGTGCTCAAATCAGTGTACAATAATTTTTGATTCAGGATGAAGCTAAATGTATTAATGCTTAAATGGTTTTAACATTGCAAAAATTAACTTATGTATATATGTATGTATGTCTCGTATCTTTAGAACATCAGTTATTACAATATGGACAACACATTTCTATGTATATATGTACTCTTGTCACGATATTATTTACTGATTTTAAACAAATTACAAAGTACAAAAATAATTCAACATCAGCTAAAGTAAATGTTTTCATTGTTCCATTATTGATATATTCTACAGGAAAGATAATTTGTGATAAAAGCTTTTACTCAAAGTCTCTCTTTCATATTCAACTATCTTAAAAAATCCCAGCAGAATGGCCCATTATCGGCTAGCGGTATTTTTGTTAAATTTGATAAGCCCAAGAAATTATATAAACAAAAAAATGAGGGAAGCGCAAGAAAGCGCATAATATTAATTAATTTAATAACAAAGTCCCCTGCAAAAGTTTGCCTTCGTGCAGCGATATTCCATTATTGCAAATTAAAAAATGTTAGTTTACTAATCATTTCTATTGCCAAAAGTGGTAAAGAAATCAATTTCTCTGTAGTGCCAATCTGTTGCCTTGAAATTTGTAAATTTAAATGAAAATCAGAGTTAAGATCGGAGATCTGAGGAAGTGCGTGATTTTAATTCTCATTGTGGCATGCACCCATAAATGTACTCGATTAGCGAATTTGCAAGTCTATTGAAACCAACGTGTGAAAATCAAATGCCAAATCTAAACAAAGCCCCAAAAGCGCCGAAGTTATCACAAATCACACAGTTTTTGACACTTGGCCGAAGAAGAAGTGCCCATAAGCCGCGGGCCAGCGTCAAAAACGATCTCTTAACGATCCTAATAATATCTCTAATGACATAAAACAGCAGCACAGCCGATATTCACACGCAAATTAGTAGGGACATAAGAATTCGCAGGCCAGACAGAGACTGAGCCGCTGGCACACTCGTCGATGGTCCAATACGGCGCGCTTTAGATCAAGCAGTCAATTACGACGCATGTGAAAATTATCCTATTAAATGCAAATCGAAAAAAGATTCCCATAAACCGACCTAAGGAGGCAAGCCCCACAGCGCCCCGCGCCTCGACAAGAGGCCCCAGGCCCCGTTTAGTACTTGACAAATGCTCACTAATTAATTACAGTTTGTACAAAATTTTAGTACGCCTCTCATAAAGTGCGTCCGTCCGTCCGTTACCGTCTGTCGGCGCCATCACACTTTCCGGCTCTGGCTGTGTGCAGAAATCAAAAGTGCGACACACTCCCCCAGCCAGTTGCTGGCCTAAAGTGACACCTCGAGCTCCTTTGGTCCAGAAACAGGAGCCGAACAGAAGAAGGACAGGAGCAGGACGCCGCTGGGGCAGGGGCAAGAGCAAGAGCACCTATAGGGTCCAAGTCTAAATTTGGTTTATTTTCATGTCAAGTGGTGTGTGAAATTTAGCAAATTTGACTTAATCGCCCCCCGATAAGCTACCAGCGGCCGATGACACTTGTCGCCACCCGCCTCGATCCTTAGCAGGTGTGAACAGCACGCAAACCGTAATCCTTGTGCAAATTGGGAAGCGGGGTAAATGAAGCAATGTTCAGGCAATGGAATGACATTGATCAAAACGGAAGGGGAAGGGTTGCAGCTGTGGCCCTGTCTTCTCCGTCGCGAATGCTGCGAACCCCCACGGGTTGAGTCCATTCAGCAGCAGATCTGTTACAAATCTCTTCTGATGGCTTTGAATATTGTGTTGCATGGGATATAGATTTTATGACTTAAGCAGACGGCAGGCACTTGATTTAATGACCCCGCCTTTGAAGACAGACAGAAAAGAGTTATTTAACATACACTCAGCTCAGAAAAAAATTGGCATAGTAAACAGTAACAAATTACACACAGTTGATCAAATTTACTGGCATACATTTTTAAATCTCTGTGTAAATATTTAAATTTTTTGTTTTCTCTTATTATTTCTGTAGTCCCAACATTTTCGATTGCTAGATAATTCCTATTTGATTTAATAGAATCGTAACTTTATACATGGTGTTTTCCCTCAGTGTAGCAGTCGTAAGATTCGTGCCTCTAGGTACTGTATCTCCAGTACGGTGCGCCATTGCCATATTACAAAGGGTTCGGTTCGATTTCTTCTAGCGGCGCATATTTCATACGCAAGACCAAAAGAAATAAAAGAAAAAAAAAAAAAAAAAAAAAAAAAAAAACTTTCAAAGAGTCTGAGTAAATATCAAAGTCACGAAATCATTCAAAATCAACAAAAGCCAGCAACAACAAAGCGGATGGGGAAAGAGTCCAATACAAACCTCAACCTCAACTCAACTCAGCCCGTCATGGCAGCCATCAAAAGTCGAAGTATAGAAGTATATAGCCACGCCACACAGGCATAGACAAACACACAGACACACGTACACGGGGAGACAACACACAAAAACAGCTTTTCATTAAGCTTGGCGATGCGATGCGATGGAATGGAGCTGCCGCTGGAAATGGTGGAATGGTGCGGATCGATGTGGAACACAAATACCCGTATGTACGGGGAACGTAGAGCTGTATAGTACAAGACCCAGTGGCACCCGGACAAGGCAGAGCAGGGAACCAACAGCTACGACAACGCTGCAATACTGCTGTCATGAAGAGTTCATTTTTATGAGGCATTCTATCTGGCACATGAGAAAACAGCCAACAAATTGGGTGAAAATTATCCCAATGGCTCCCTGCAGCGCGCAAAGTGCATTCCAGGAAAATAGATAACAGAAATTGCAAATAATTTGCTTCTTCAATAAAATTAGTTTAATTGAATAAAGTCAGGAGAAAAGAGCATTCAAATAAACCAAAAAGGCAACCGCAGCAAAGGAATTAAAACAAAGTAAATCAATAAGTCAAATGAAGTACGATATTATTTTATTAAATCTCTTCAACTTCAAGAAAAGAGCAACTGAATGAGAGGCTTCAGCTTAAAGAGGCTTAAGAGACACACTTTTGATTGATTTGCCTTTTTAGCAGGGCTTTGGCTGATTGATTGTACAATTGATTTTGTGTGCATCTCACCTTCGCGCCCCGAGGGCAACCTGTTCGGGTGACACCTTCAAATTAAATGTCTGACAAAGCAACAGCAGCAGCAGCAGTTGGTGTTCCCTTGTTCCACAAATTTACGTACATGTATGCATGATTGAAGATGGGCAAAACACTTTTCAATAAATCAAATTTGGATCCCAGGCAAGAACAATAGCCATCCCGTGTGTGGCTGGGGAGAGGGCGGGCCATAAAGAAATCCTAGAAATGGGGCCGCCGTCGGCATTCAGCATCCAATCTTCGGCTCGGTTTGGTCCAATAAAAACACAAACACAAAACAATTAATACATTTTGTTAATTTATGATTACAAAACATTTCGAGAAACACTTTCGGCCAGAATTTAGACATCACTGGAGTCGTCCGACCAGATTCGAAAGGAGGAATCTTCCGCAGAGAGCAAAAACTATGACCCTGGCCCCTACCCCCTACCCCCGACCACGATACCGAGCCCGGCGCAAACAGAGGTGTTTGTTGCCGCGGCCATAAATAAAAAGGGTGCCCGTTGTTTATGGCCAGCCAGCATCAGTCGGAGTCTGAGTCTGAGTCCCAGTCGTACTCTGCACCGTCTGAGTCTCAATCCCAATCCCAGTCCCACTCTCAGTTCCACTCTCAGTCCCAGTCCCAGTACCAGTCGCAGACCCAGTCCCAGGCATGGCTAAAGTGTGCAATATAATTAAAAGCCGACAACAGAGAGCTGGAGGAGCATTCTTCTAATGCTCCTGGGATAGTGCTGTAAAGGCATAAAGCCGACACTTCGTCGGCCAGGCGGGTGAAATGGCTTTGATGTAATGCCCAGTGCACACTGTCCATGAGGTGATTGTACGTACATACTAGCACTGAGTCTCAGTCATCCAGAATAACTAATACAAATGGGAGTACATATATAATGTAAGACCATTTAATAGTCAACCAAAAATCCGCAAAGAACTGCTCATTCTGTGTGCATTCTGTGGCTAGTTTTATTTGGCGTTTAGCTAACACATTTTCTCTCTCTTTGAAATTCTTTTTAGTAGCCACAGCTGACATGACCACATCGCACATCTTATCCGCCGTGGATCCAACGACCGGACTCAGTGGCAATGTGGCTGCAGGCGGCGGGCCTGGATCGCCACAGCATGTGACCCACAATCACAATGGACATGGTCAGGGGCACGGACACGGACACGGCCAGGGCCAGGTACACGGAGGAGGCGTCGTGTCGGTTGCCTCGGGGCCCAGCGGCAGTGGCAGAGCAGCTCCGGGCAGTCCCAACGAGCTGGACCGCAATCTGCGCGTCTCACTGGACGATCGCGAGCTCTGGCTGCGCTTCCAGAACCTCACCAATGAGATGATCGTCACCAAGAACGGCAGGTAAGTGAGTCACCGGATCCGCTCCTGCCATTTCCCCTCGCCTCCCCATCAGTTGCCCACAGCAAATGTGTTAACTGGTTTTCCAATGCAAATTGGCAATGGGTTTTGGAGCTTTTGTTTTTGTATTTTTGTGTGTTTTTTGTTTGTTTTTGTTTTCCTGCTGCAATGGTTTTCCATTTGGCGCTGTTTGCGACGGGTCATAATGAAGCGTTAACGTTTCGCTGCTGCCTGGGGACACACACTCGTGCACATATGTACTCGCACGGGTACATACTTTTCTCTGCTTAAAAATATTTACCAATCTACGAACGTAGTACAGTCGCTGTGGCTCTGAGGCTGTGCGCTTAGAACGGGAGGCGGGAGGCATGCCTGGCCTGGCCTGGCCTGGTCAGGTGCTAATTAGCACGGCCCGGCAACAGCCGCCATCTTGTACTAATTGTTGTGGAACAGAGCGCGCATGGACGCCGCGCATGGCCGTTTCAATATTTGCCCGAGACGCAGTCGCACTCGGATCGGATCTTGTACTCCGCACACACGCACCAGAGACTGGGGGGAGAATGGGATGGTGGGGGGGGCCAAACTCTTTGGGGCGACTGTTTAAAGTTTAAACGTTTCGAGTTTGCGACTGTTATATAACTGTTATAAATACTAATTGCTGCTTCATCTGTTTACCAATGCAGACGCATGTTCCCGGTGGTGAAGATCAGCGCCTCCGGCCTGGACCCAGCGGCCATGTACACGGTTCTGCTGGAGTTTGTGCAGGTGGACTCGCATCGCTGGAAGTACGTCAACGGCGAATGGGTATGTGTTGATCGAAAGGCAGGCCAGCCCAAAACGAATATCCCATAATTATCATCACATTTTATTTTACAGGTGCCCGGCGGCAAGGCGGAGGTGCCTCCCTCGAATCCCATCTATGTGCATCCCGAGTCGCCCAATTTCGGGCGCCCACTGGATGAAGGAGCCCATTTCCTTCGCCAAGGTCAAGCTGACCAACAAGACGAACGGCAACGGGCAGGTGAGTTCCTTGGAACCCCCCAATGTAACCCCTGCTTATACATATATCATATATCCTTCCAGATAATGCTTAACTCCCTGCACAAGTACGAGCCGAGGGTGCATCTGGTGCGGGTGGGCTCCGAGCAACGGCACGTGGTGACGTATCCCTTCCCGGAGACGCAGTTCATCGCCGTGACGGCATACCAGAACGAGGAGGTCACCTCGCTCAAGATCAAGTACAATCCCTTCGCCAAGGCCTTCCTCGACGCCAAAGAACGGCCGGACACGCTGTATCCGCACGACACCCACTACGGCTGGCTGATCCCTCCGCCCACACACTATGCCGCCGCCGCTGCTGCCGCTGCAGTGGCTGCCCCCCCACCATTGTCCCTTGGCCAGACCCACAGCCTGGTGGGTGCGGCCACCACAGTGTCGTCGGCTGCCACTGCGGGATCCAACTGCGATCGCTACGGACGCTCGCTGTCCAGGCCCGGCGTGGCCCCCACCACCCGCACTACGCCCTACAGCAGGCCACGGGTCGTCTCCGGATCGGGCTCTGGATCGAATGGCAGCGCGGGCAATGCCTCCTCCTCATCGCCGCAGCCACCGTCGGCCCCGCAAACACCCACCAGTATGCAGTCGTCGGTGACGGGATCGGTGAGCACCAGTGTGAGCAGCAGCAGCAGCGGAGTGGGCGGCGGCGGAGCAGGAGTTGGATGCTACGGCAGCGCCTACTCGCAGTCGGGCTTCATGCCAGTCCCGGTGGAGGCCAGTCCCACGGCCTCGGTGTTCTCGTATCCCGGCAGCTGGCAGAGCAATGGCAACTACTGGAATGCCACGAGTGTGCCCGGCCCCATGCCCATGAACGTGTGCAGCAGCAGTCGCAGCACCATCTGTGAGTGTAGTCCCATGTCCCTGTCCCTGTTCCTGCCCCTGTCCAGCAGAGTGACCATTGCACCTTACATCTGTTCTCCCCTTTCTCCACACAGCAACACACAACTCGCCATCGCCCACGAACGGATCGCCGAGCTACACGACACCCTCGCCCAGCTACACCATCCACCATCTGACGCCGCATGGCCACCAGTACAACATGGGACAGACGGACCTATACGGCTCCGGAGTGGGGGGCACTGGCGTGGGCTCCTCACAGACGGCGTACGGAGGCACGCACCAGGTGTACCATCCCACGCCCACCTCGCCCACCCACCAGCTGTATACGAACGTGCTGAATGCACCGTCGGCACTAAGCTACCCTACGGGCGGGTGGCACAACGGGTCCGGGGCAGAGTACGGACTGTACCAGAATGCAGCAGCGGCCGCCTACTACCAGCCGGAGTACATACCGCTGGAGATCGGGTAGGTGTGGGGGCTTTGCCCACTAGGAACTTTATCCACTTATCGCTAAAGTAGCTATCAATGATTCCCCCCTCGAATCGCGTTCTGCTTACAGCTACGCCTCACACCCCCTGGAGCCCGTGGACGTTTCGAAGGCGCTGGACGATCCGCAGTCCGAGATGTACAAGCCGAGCGAGGAGCACAGCTCGGTGATCACCCTGGAGTGCGCCGGCTCCAGTCTGAAGGCCAACGTGCAGCACAACGACATCAAGCTGGAGTCATCCTCCGCCTTGGATCATCATTCAGTGGACAGGGGTGCAGCCGTGGCCAGTGCCAGTGTCATTCCAACGGCTGTGCCCACTTCAGTGGTCACTGCGGTCAGCGCCGATACATGGACGCCCCTGACTCCGCCCCAGAGCACGCTGCAGTGATTGGGAGTCGCAGACGAGATGCAGACGCACAGTCCCAGCCTTTAGACGCATGACCCCCTCCCAATGGATATTCAATCGTATTAGATTTAAAAGTTATACCCTAGCAGTCCCCAATGCACATCCCCAGCCCACTCTTATTGTAGTTTTACTTACGCTGTAAACATTTTCCTATAAAGTCTAATCAAAGTACTATCTTTAATAATGTTAGAACAACCAAGAGACGATCTCTTTTTGTGCTTGAACCTAGTGGATATTAGTGCAGAAACATCGGGCAAGCAAGGGTCGGGCAGTCCCGTATCTCAATTGACAGCTTTTAAACTAAAAGTCGGACAATGAAGAGTGTAAGAATGGGCCAAACTATACTGTAAAAAGCAAAGGAGCGGGATACCTGCTGGCTCATTGTTCCACTCAGAGGGGTATTCAATTACTTTAAAAACTTCTCGCCAACCTGTATGCCACCCCCGCACAACAATGGGGCACTTGACGCAGTTGCAACCTGCAGCAGCACGGCGCAGCACCAACTTGATCCGAAGGCAGCAATCTCTTCCTCTGCCCTGGAATGCCCCACAAAGTGCCATGATGGTAATCAGTTTAGCTTCAACTTATGTGAAAGCATTAGGCAGTGTGGGAGCCGGACACCACGCCATTCGGATGAAGGAGCGCCATTAAAATTACATGCCGGAATCATTTGCCAGAGAATGCGCACGTGAAGAGTGGCAGCTGCAGTTGCAGCTGCAAGACATTACGAAGGAGAGGAGGAAACTTCGACTCATCCGCAAAGGTGAACACAGGTCAAGTATATCGCAATTATCGTATATTATTCGCAGTTCAGGTTGATTGCCATCAGTAGTCAGTCGGATGGGAGTTTCTTTGGAGGTTATTAAATCCATGTTCTGGGCTTCGCCTCCACTCACCTGATAGTCCATCGAGTTGCCGTAGCCCATGTGATTGCAGGAGCACGAACAGTGCTTGATGTGCTGCTCCAGTTCATCGTCCATTATGGTGTTACCCCCCGCCAGACCCACACCGAGGCCGAGAGATACATCGAGCTGGTGCTGATGCTGGTGATGCTGGTGTATATGTTCCCACTCGCGCTGCTTGTAACGAGCCTCCATTGTCTGCTGGTCCACAATCTCGAGCGGATTTGTGGTCAGGCCGTTAGTCTGTTGCTGTGGCTGCGATTGGGTTTGGGTTTGGGGTTCCCCCGGCCAGTCCAAGGAGGCGGACTTGAATATCCTTCGACCGCCAGCCAGTGTGGATTGCATTGCCCTGCCCGGGCTGTTGCGGGGACTGTTGCTGTTGCTCTCTTCCACTGTTAGGCTGCCACCGCGTAAGAGCGCGCCACGCTCGAAGCTTTTGGTCTTGTGGAAAGCTTCGTAAGCAACAGTTTCCTCCACAACGTCGCCGATGGGTTGGTATCGCCTCAGCGTAGCTGCTACTGGCATTGGGCCTGGGCCTGGGCCTGATACTGTGCCACCAGTTGCTGCCGCTGCTGCTGCGGCCGTGGGAGTCACTGTCACCGCCGAGCTGGCCGCACTCAGCATCAGGCGCAGCATCTCATTGGAGTCCGTCGCTGGCAGTGGCACGCTGCAGGAGCCCGTCTCCGTGGCACTGTCCAGCACATCCGACTCCAGCTGCTCCGAGTCGAGATCGAGATCCGAGGCGGTGGCGTTTGACTCGACTGGGGGCTCGGTACCGTGCTGTTGCTGGCGGCGAGTGCGCTGCCCGATGATGGAGGCGGCCGTGGAGTTGACCCCGTACTTCCAGTAGGTCTTGCCCGTGCCAGTAATCCGCTGCAGCTGGCCCGGCAGCGACAGGGGCGGCGCTGCGCTCTGGCTGGCCTGTCGTTTGCGGTCCTGCAACTGTTGCAGGTTCTTGAACGTTTTTCGCACCGGCTGCGTGTGGTGCAGTGTGGCACAGCGACGCATGGGCGGCGGGGTGTAGACGGGGGAGACGCTGTAGCTGTGGGAGTGGCGCGAGGGCGACAGGGATCCGCTTGATTTGGCGCCCACGAGGCGGGCCCTCAGTTTCTTGCCAAAGCCGCCGCCTCCGCCCCCGCCCCTGGGCGATAGCGAGTGGGCGGAGAGGGAAAGGGCGCGCGTGAATCGCAGTCCGGCCAGGCTGCCGTGTCCATTGCCGGAGCCTCCGGTGGACTGCTGCTTGGCGGCAATTAGCTGGCACTCGTCGATGGTGGGGAGCTTCAGCAGATGCGGATGCAGCTGGGCGTAGGTCAGTGCTGGCTTGGCGCCGCCACCGGCACTGGCACTGGCACTGGCACCGGCACCGCTGCCATCCGATGGCGGCTCGAACAGATTCCTCTGGCTGAGGGCCAGGAACTCACGCTGCTCCTCCTCCTCGAGCACCTTCAGCGCCCGCAGGTCCCACTCCCCGGAAGTCATGGCTGGCAGCACCCGGAATGAGTCGCAGTTTCCGCCGCAGAATCTCGCATTCGCCTTTTCGCATTCACATCCCGCGCGTCGCTTGCGGTCGCGCAGAGCAGAGCCAGTAACCGTTGCCTCACGAGGCTGTCAGCGGAATGAGCCTGGCCAAGAGTCTGTGCTGTTGCTTTATAACGGCAGGACGAGAGGCTAACAGGCGGATAACATCAGCAGCAACAGCTGCTGTGGATGCCAATGTGGAACGTAAGTGACCTGCCGTAACATTTGTGCCGAGCCAACTCGAACTAAGGCAGTGGGTCGCTGTGTTAACGCTTGTGCCTTGAGCCTCTCCAGAATGTGACACTGTTAATGTAAATGTAAATGTAAATGTTACTGCTCTCCGCAGAAGAGTTAGAGCCGGAGTTTTGGAGTGGAGTACATGCTGATGAGATGATGGGACGATGTGGTGAGGGGGCGACAGTGAAATATGCAACTGCATTCATTTGGCATCCAAGGCAATTTCGCAGTCGCCAGGATGATGCCGTTGCCATTTTTGTTAACCTCAGCGGTGGCCTTCCTGGTTGACAGGCCACACCAGTTAGCATTTGGAGGCACGGCCACACATTTGTGTGTGTGAGTGTGTAGCACAGGTGTAACACTTGCACATGTGCCACATATATCCTCCGGAGTGCGCTCATCCTTCATCTTGATGTACGGCCATCCATGATGAGTGTAGGAGTGGAGGTGGAATGGAAGGTTGCTGCTGCTACCGCTGCTACTTCTGCTTGCTGCATTTCCCCGAATCTTGCTAATGAAATGCAGGCTGTGGCCCTCAAATTTGCATTATATGCAGATCGGGCAACGTGCAAATACTATGCCAGCCACATAATTAATATGAAGCGTGCTAAACAAAGTTAAAGAATCGAGGCTACATCGGATGCAAAAGAATTCTATAAAACCAAGACACCCACTCGTATACGCAATATATTCTTCTAGTTTTCTTTGACTGAGAGTTACCTAAATATTGTAGTTGTGGGTATATAAATGTGGACTCAAATGCTGACTCTGGAATTATTTACTCTATGCAATAAATTTTATTTCTAAACCTAAACCCTTTCATACGGCCAGACCGGCACACGTACCACCCCGCAGATAAATATAGGTGCTTTTTTTTCGTGTCTGTTTAATTAAACACAAATAAACACTCTTGTGTTTATTTTAATTTACGAACTGTGCAAACATAATAAATAAGAATTATGAAATTATAAAAATATATTATAAAAGAAAATTCAAATAAAAATATGCGGATTACACAATGCAATTGAATTCACTTGGCTACAAATAATTATAATTATTATATGCAGAGTAATTACAAAATTCGGATTAGTGTCAAGGACCCAAGTTGAAACCTTAATAACCCATTTGTCGAATGAATTGAAACGATAAGTACTCGTAGATTGTGTGCCAATGCATTGGCAGCTGCGGAAAACTGTCGCCTTTCCAATTACCAAATAATATGTACTCGTAAATTATGACAAGGAAGCCTATAAAAATCAAAACACAAACCATTTTGATTTAGTTGGTTAAACCAACGTGGTTTTTCTATAATAAAGCCAAAATATATATCACTCGAAAAACTTTTAAGAGACCGATTGAAAGTTTTTTAATTTTTTTAGCCATATTTACAAACCAACCATCTGTAATCCTATCCTTCAGTGTACATCGTTGGAGGCTACATCGAAGTCGGAGCAAAAGTCAGGCCGCTGTTCCTGTTACCAGGATTATCTGACCCGATGGCAATCTTTGCCATAGAGAGATCCAGAACAAGCCGCCATGAAGCAGGCAAAGTTGCACAAGCTTCCCTGACGCCCCAAAGAAACCTCGCCGCCTGTTGCAGCGCTGCGTTTAATTTCGTTCGTGGGGACACAGGAGCAACGGAGAAAATTCGAGTCTGGGCATCTGCTGTCGTTCTGGCGGTCTGTCTGAGAGGCAAACTTTGGTCTTAACCGACAGGCGCCTGCCGAATCTGCGGCGCATGTTGTGTCCGCAACAAAAATCAAGAGCATGCTTTTGAGCCAGCGCTGGGCCCGACCACATCCCGGCAGCCTGCGGAGGGGCAGCTGAAAAACTTATTGAATAGAAATCCAGTTTCGTTTTACAAAAACTTAATATTTCTGCTTTTTGTGTTCGACTCCTCCCAGATCCGTCCGCAAAATCCCATAGAAGATACTACTCCCCCCAGATACTTTTAGGCCAGTTCGGGATTTGGGTTCCCCCAAGGTTTACCCTTGCCGTTGAGGGCAGGCATTAGGTTGGGTCGGGTCACTACCTACGGGCCCTCCGGGCCGCGCCGCGCCCCGGCTGGGATGGCCGCGTTCGGTGGGGCCCGCCCCCCCGCCCTGTTGTGCTGCCCCATGATCTCATATTGGTTGGCGGGTGTTCAGTAAAAAAAGATATACACCAAATTATTATTTTTTTTCATAATTCAGCCACAGAGGGAAATATAGGAAATGGTGCAAGACTTTCGCAGCTCCATTTAGGAGCAGTGTTGCCAATTCAGCTAACTTTGCTGCGAAGAGAGAGACAGCATGAGAGACAAAATGCAAAATTAGTGTTCGTAGCCGTCTCTAGCCACGTCTACTGGCTTTCAGTTGAATAATTGAGCCAAAAAGATTTTTTCCAGCAAAACGCAGCCACCAAGCCAGAAAACTTGTATCCGAAAAGTAAAACAATCGATTTATTCCCGGTCAACTTACTCTTCTCGCTCTGACTGCAGGTATTTTCTATAAGGCTGTCTCTACTTTTGCAGCCAGTCAGTTGGCATTAGTCTTATGGGAAAAGCAATCAGTGAGAGCGAGAGAAATATATATGCGTTGCATCGCGTTCTATCGATAGTATCGATATTTGAACTAAGGAAAGGAACTATATCGATGAGAACTTTTGGACCAAAAGGCTTGTTAGCATTAAAATAATCTTGGTGAGAGAATTTTGCTGAATTCCGGACTAGGTAAGTTATGAATATATTACATAATATAAATATATATAATTGCTAACAATTTAAGCGCTTTGAAGCGTAGTTAAGTTCCTAGAAAAACAAAAGTTGCAGACCCAGACGACACACATAAGAAATACATGTGATTGTACACTAATGCCGGGTGATACATTTTTCTTCTTTCAGAAACTTTCGTCACATTACAACGCACTAGCTACGATGGATACTTGGTGAGTTATTTATCCGCATTTATGTACATACATGTGCAAGTGTTTGGTTAACTTTATGAGCCTCGGACACTTCGTTTTCTAGGCTGCAACCAGTTTTTACCGATCTTATTGAAAACAAGAAGTTTTCTGATTGCCGCATATCTGTGGGGACCGAAGCCTTTGATTGCCACAAAGTGATTCTAGCAAGTGCATCCGAGTTCTTTGAGCGCATGTTCCTGGGGGATTTCACGGAGTCAAAATCGGGCCAATTTATTGTGAACGATGTAAAGCCGGAAACGTTCGGACATTTCCTGCAGTACGTTTACACTTACAACAAGGAGCACTTGAAGAAACACAGCAGCACAATACTAATGGAACTGTTAGAGGTTGGAACCAAGTGGCTGGTGGACTCAATTCAATCCGATTGCGTTGAGCTCCTCGTGAAGCGAGCTAAAGAGATGATGGTAGGCGATCTCGTCGAACTATTTCAGGCTGCGCACAACATAGACAACAAGTCGTTGATCGATGAGGTCAATAAGGTGGGCGATTTTAAAAGCTACATTTTAGACTGTCTCTTAAGTCCTATTCAATTATAGAACCTCAAGCAAAGATTTGGACCACGCATGAATTGCTTCGATAGTCTCGTGCTCACATCAGACGTCTTCGAGCAATATCTCATTCTCACCGATGGTCTTCTGGAAGAGATCGAACGGTTCAAAATGGTCGAGGCCTACGTTAACGTAAATGGGTTACACTATGCTGGAACGTCGGAGCGCTCTGGAGATGATGAAGCCGATAAAAAAGAAGAATCTGATGTTGGGAAGATTGAGAACGAGAAGCTTAGCAGTACTAAGACTCTGACAGGGGGGGAGATTAAAGACGAGAAGCCTGGCAGTTCCAAGGAACTGTGCGAGGTGAAACACGTGGATAATACTGACGCGAACACTCTCGAGCTCCATGCAGGGGACCGAAACGAAATTAAGCTTGCGGCTATACATTCAAAATATGTCCGCACGCTTTTGGGACACATAAAATACGAAAAAATGACCAAGAATCAGTTCTACGCAGTTGTTGGCAAGTCAAATTTGTTGGATTTTAAAGAAAAGTTCGAATATCTCAGCCTAACTATGTGGGATGAAAACGAAAGCGAAGGGGAAAACGAAGATATCCGCGAACTATCTACACTATTTATTTAGTTAAACTTTGTTAGGAAAAAAACTTCAGATGACTATCATATACCATGGAATAATAAACACTCTTACTATGTTTTATTTTCACTAAAATGTACAGAATCTCTGGTAATACTGACTGTCGTCAGCAGTGGCAGCGAAAAGTTGGTCTGCATGCTGCACTCTATTTTCCTTTTTCCTTATACCATATATAAGTCGGCGTACCAGTATTACCTCAGTTCTGATAAAAATGTCAAAGTGAAAAATTCATATGTACTTAAATTGATTTATATTATTTTATTTTGTTTGTATATTTCCATGTTTAAGTATATTTAGTGCCAGCAGATCAGATGTTGGATTGATAAGTAATACCTGCGCGGAAATAACAAGTCCAACGGAAATGTAGCGCATTATATACGCACAAAATTATATGTTTTAATCACTTTTTGATATGCCCGAATCGGAATTAAATCAGAAATTCAAGGATGCCAGCCTATACTCTCTTCCCGCTGGTTGCTGCAACAGGCGCCGCAGGTTTTCTGATTGGAGCCCTTGCGCAGCAGGACATATCATTTCGAAGGCTCAACAAGGCGATGTTCAGAGATCCGTATGTGTTTCAGAGCCGCCGTAAGATATTCAGAGCGGTACGGGCATTTGACCCAACCATTGTGGATGCTAAAATCCCTGATTCTATCCCCCTAGTTATCATTTCTGGGGATAACGGCTCCAGCGGCAGTACCGCCAACTGAGCGTGGGCAGAGCTCAACCAGCGAAAGTAGCTTCGCGGAGAGTTTTACTGAATCGTCGGAGATCGAGTCGTCGCCCGATATTGGCAGTATGTCTCTGTTTGAGCAATTTATTCTTTGGAGCCGCAGCCAAGTAAACCACGTGGTGAGCATTTTGAGAGTTTAAAGCCAAGATTAATTCAATTCCCGATTCGAATCCTTACAGATCATGTTTATGACCTTTTCGATAGGAGCTGAACAGCCCCGCTACAAGGAGATATCACACGTGGCCGGCATCATGAAGTACGGTTTTCCTGGCATGGATGAGATACGTGTCTACAAGAACTTTGTGCTCTCGTACGATCGTCGCAATCGTATCGCCCATTGGGTCTGTGAGCACCTCAAAGGCGAATGTCTGGCCTACAGAGATCCACAGACCCTGGAGAAGCCCAACGAATACATACCAGATCAGAGCATTCCGACCATGTTCAGTCCGAATATGCGCGACTTTCGCAACACCGAGTGGGTGGGGGGCCACATGGCCTCGCCCCAGAACTACAAATGCGATGTAACAATGTTCAACGAGGCGTACAAATTCCCCAACATAGTACCAATCAGTCGGGCCCTCAAAAATAATGTCTGGTTGCGTCTGGAGCACTATATTCGCGAACTGGCTCTCAAGTCGGGCTCGGTGTACGTGTACACTGGGCCCATGTTCATGCCGCAGCGGATCACCTTCAGGAACTGGGCCATCCGTCACCATGTGATGGGCATGAATACCGTTGCTGTGCCCACCCACTTTTTCAAGGTCATTATCAGTGAACACAGGCAGGAGGGCGATTTGCCCTTTGTGGAGGGCTACGTGGTGCCCAATGCCGAAGTCGACAGTGAAACGGATCTCCGCTCGTTTCTGGCTGATGTCCGAGATATCGAACACTTTGCCGGACTCAAGTTCTACGACGGTGAGCAGCGGAAGCGACTTGATTTCACCTCAAGCGATAGTTCAATGGATATTGAATATATCAACTGAATAAATCGAGCATTTTGATTTGGCACTCGTTGGCATTAAACTAAAGTAAAGAAGTGGGGAAATGCAAACAATCAAACGCCTTCGGTCCGAACAGCGTGGCCAAAACAAAAAATCCGGGAATTGCCTTCCACTCGAACATTCGCGACCAGCAATGACGGGTCCAAAATTCATTAAACGTTTCCAAACTGCATATTTGTCATGGCGCCTGGACTGCAGTGCCAGCCAGCGCATGCTTGTACAATACTCTGATTTATTGCACGGTTGCCATGCTGACATGGGTTCCGTGGCGGAGGCACCGGCACTCTTCCCCACCACAGACACGTTCCATTTGTATGTTTCTGGGCCAGGATCAAACATAAATGCTGGGGGGAACTGGTTATATTTTCGCATGCCTTTCTAGAAAAACTGGCCCAACTTGTAAGCGTTTGTTGGCAGCATTAACAGATGGAGAAAATTGGAATTAAAGACTGTTGATACTTTCCGTTTGACCCTGATCGATTAAGAGGGTCCACTTGCAAGCTTTCAAGATGAATACAGCTCGGAAAAACACATATAGATGCCACAGACGTAACAACGCTTCCATTCCCTACACATGAGGTGCAGATAAACATATTTAATGCATTTATATTTCAAAGTTCTTATAATTCTAAATATTTGTAATTGTCCTCCTTAAATGGGCTTGTAGTCCAATTTAGACTCCAGCTTCTTGTTGCCGGCAATTTTGCGCACCGCCTTCATGAAGTCCTCCTGCAGAATCCACTCGCGGTCGGCGCGAAGAGCAAACAGTCCGGCCTCAGTGCAAATGTTGCGCAAATCAGCGCCGTTGAACTTGTCAGAGAGCTTAACAATCGCCTCGTAGTCGATCTCGCCTTGCTTGGAGAGTGGTCCCGCGTGTATCTTGAGTATGTCCATGCGAGCCACCTCGTTTGGGAGAGGGATCTCGAGTTTGCGGTCTAAGCGGCCAGGACGCAAGAGGGCCGGGTCGAGAGTGTCCGGGCGATTAGTGGCCATAATCATTTTCACTTGGCCAAGGGCGTCGAAGCCGTCCATTTGGTTGAGCAGCTCCATGAGAGTGCGCTGGATCTCGCGGTCTGCGGAGGTTCCCTCGGAGAAGCGGCGCCCTCCAATGGCGTCGATTTCATCCATGAAGATGATGCAAGGCTGATGGTCGCGCGCATAGGCGAACATCTCGCGTATCAGGCGCGCACTCTCCCCAATGTACTTGTCGACAATCGCCGAGGAGACCACCTTGAGGAAGTTGGCGTCCATCTGGGAGGCGATGGCGCGGGCCAGCAGTGTCTTGCCGGTGCCAGGCGGCCCGTACAGCAGGCAGCCCTTCGGCGGGTTGATGCCCACGCGAAGAAACAGTTCCGGGTTCAGCAGCGGCAGCTCGATTACTTCGCGTAGCTGACGTATCTGCTCGCCCAGGCCCCCAATCTCGTCGTAGTTCACATTGCCAGGATCCTCGTGAGTCATGTTGTACACGAGAGGGTCGACCTCGCGTGGCAAGTAGCGCATTATGGTCAGCGTGGTAATATCCAAGGTGACGCGTGTGCCAGCCTTCAAGCGCGACTTGTCGATCTGACGCCTGCAGCCGACGACGTAGCGCGGCCCGTTCGACGACTTGACGATAAAGTTGTCCGGAGTCAACTGCTTGAGAACCTCACCCAACATCTGGCCAACGCTCTGCAGCGCCTTCAGGTCATCCTCCGATTTCTCGTATTCGACATTCAGCACCTTGTGCTTGTCACGCAGGGCCTTCAGTCGAGACTCAAGTTCGCGGTGCTCCAACAGCTTAGTGCGGTAGTTTTTCAACGCCTTGGTGCGCTCGTCCTCCACGGCTGGACGTGCGGATGTTGCTTTTACAGTTCCAGTTGCAGATGTCTGAGCCATTTCAAAATATCTCTGCCTCTCCTCTCAACTTTTGGTAAAATAAAAACTACGAACAAACCGAAGCCTGCTAAAATGCCAAATCACTCTAACGTGCTCGACGGCTCGGAAGTTCAAAGGAGCGAGTTCCGGGAACTGGGTAGATTTTGGAACCAGCTCGCAGGGATGATTTTTACAAGATTTAAAGCCTCTAGCCGATTAATCGTTAAGGCGTAGATTAATTGTGCGGAATGAATTTTTCAAATTTAATATTACAAGCAGTAACAAAAACATGGAGCTGGTGGACACTGCTAATGAAATATTTTTTCCGTTGGGTAAACAAAGCTACTGATCTCTTTCAGATCCATGGATGCCCTGAAATGGGTTGAATATTTTTAGAAACAAGAAAGTATATCATGCAATTCAGCCGTTAGTTTAAAGTGCAGGCCACGGCCATAAATGGAACTTTAATGCCCCAAATTCGCAGCACTGTATTGCAATATTCTTCACAACATACATATATGAAATCACCAAATTCGCAACATTATTTTATTCCGCAACATCTTCTTTGCAATATTTTGCGCTTCTTTGCAACATCAACATCCAAATTTAAACTTTCTTATCAAGTGAGCTATACTCGTACAGATAATAATTTTTTATTGACGTATTGAATAATTGCAAACGCAGAATCATAAATAATGACTTTCATTTCGGTCGGCACTGCCAATGAATTCAGTGGGGAAGACTGGTACCTCTTGCATCGCATTGTCAATGTGATATTTGAATAATTTGGCGTCTTCCTTCGTGTAACCGGAAAGTGCATTGTTGTCACTGATAAGTGAGCAACTGATTTTTCTGGCCATAGCCACAGGCAACCAATCAAGAATAATCAAACCAATAATCAAGAATGCAAATCTAAAATGCTCTATCCCTAACGACATTGTTATTTGTTATACATGTAATTATTATGTTATTGTTTTTGTTATCATGTATTGCAAATGGTAAAAACCATTTAATATTAAATTCAAACTGGCATTCCGATTGGTCCACAAAGAGTGGATGAGAAGAGGAGAATAAGTATTCCAGCATCGGCTTATTTGAAATCACAATATCTAAGCGGTGCACGCACCGTAGGTTTTAATGGTTGTAGTACACTCCTGGGCTACCACATCAAAGTACTTGCCATCATCACACACCATCACACTCACTTCCTTGCCTTTTTCGCACTTTAGGTAGTTATGGCATCCCTGCACCTGCGCCACCTCCAAGCCACTGTCGCGCCCATCACAACGATCCTCATCACACTTCTGGGTCTCGCGTGGCATGCAGGCCTGTCGCTCCTGGTTAAAGAAATAATCTACGCCGCATTGCAGCCTCTCCGGGTTGGGATCGGGAACGCCAGAGCCGAGATCATGACAAAATAAGTATCCTCGGCAGGTGGCACCATCCGAAACAAATTTATTGCGCACAGCCAACTTCTTGGTTCCGCACACGTCGACTGGCAGGGGGTGATCGCTACAATCCACATATTTCTTGGCCACGCACACCTTCGTTTTTACATCGTAGTACATTCCCTGATCGCAGGTGTTTTCGATTAGCTTGTAAGTCTTGTCGCAGTGGTAGTACTTGTTGCAGTAGTCCTCGTTGCGGAATGGCACGTTTATGGGCACGATGTCGCACCATTCAAATTTGGCCGCACATGAAGTGCTCTCCGCATAAACGCACTGCTGCAGTGCCTGGTCAAACTGTTGGCCGGTGCAGGCTCCGCTGCCCTTGAGGGTCTTCTTTTCGCAGTAGTACCAATTGGCACAGTTTAGGGTGCTGCCAACGTAGCCGTTTGTGGAGGCAGTGCACGGACTGTCGCAGTAGGTGGTGTCCAAGGTCTTATAGCAGGTGCCCTTCGAGAGGCTGAAGAATTGCGTGCTTCCGCTACAAGTTCCGCCAGTCTGGCTGACTTGGTTCTGGCACACAATCCACTCGTTACAGCCGCCCGGCTTGCGGAGCTTTGTGCCATCCGCAAACAGTCGGCAGACGTCGTCGGTAGAGTTCAGCAGCTGGGTCTGGTTGCTCAGCTGCAGTACGAGAGCCAGCAGCAGGGCAGACAGATAGGTTGTCGATCCTGGAATGGTAGACAAAAATGATTGTTAGTAAGAGTATCCGGGCTCTGAGTGCCAATGCCAATCGCCAGCACCTCGCATTTCGAGATAAACTCTCTTCACTCCAAGTAGAATAATTTGCACTAACTTTCTTCGCGGCTTCTGCTGGGCCTTATATAGCCACCCCCACCCCTGATTGCCTTGTAGTTGTCTTTTGCAAGTGACAAGTCGCAGATTTTCCAATTTGACGGGGCTATAATTTACAAACATTTTGGTTTCCAAAGCAGATAAGATTTGCCGTTTTGACTGGAGCAATGACTGGGCGCTGACATAAACAAAGTTGGGAATTTTTCAGATTGTACATAAGTATGTACATATGTATTTATCTATAACTGTATGCCACTCTGCCAAAAAGCCCTTAGCTAAGGAGATTTATTATTTCAGAATACGAAATGAAATAGCAATTAGTGACAATATTAGAGAAAATATAATATATCTATCAAGGGCCATGTTGGGGGGTGGGGACAATCCTTCCTTGTGCACATACTTTTGTTTACAATTGTTCAAGCTCCCACGCTTTATAATTTATGCACACTTGTCTATAATTAATGGATGCATAAGAATGGATAGCTTTCGTCGAAACATGAACCATCCGACTGACCTATCTAAGAAATCCTATTTTTATACAACAATTGGTCATGGAGCTGTTATTATTTTATCTAATAATCCTGTAACATCAATTTTATGACATATTTATAGATTTTTTTTTGACTTGACTACTGGATTCAAATACACAGATATACTATTGACGTATACATATATGTACATACGTTCTTACATATGTACATATGTTCTTACTACACGAATTTGTGTGCCACGAATGATTCATTTGACAATATTAAGTACATTTATTATTTATTGGACTGCTACAATTTCGGAAGTGGCATCAGCGCTAGCTCCTTTTAGTGGATTTAAATGGAAATAAAAAATCCATACGGCCAGGGTAGAAATATTGGCAAGCGTATATTTGTCTTCGTTTTGCCAATTCTAGACTTAATATTGTAATTCTACAACACACAAGCAACCAGCTCTGGGTATATTAATAGCTCCGAAAGTGGAGCCTTTGGTAAGATAAGAATACGATTATTTTTAAATTACTGAGCGACTTATTACGCTGAAAATCATGTTTTTTATTTATAGCCCTGATAAGTCGTGGACAATCTATTGTTGTGACAAGACAAACAATCATTCAGATGGAGTTTTCCCAGGTCGTTGGAGTTTTGATTGCAGTTGCTGGCTGTCATTGATCAAGTTTTTACACTATTGGAAGCTATGGAAGCCAAGGTAAGTGAATTGATATCGAAATTATTTCCACTGACTTTTGGTGACTAAGCAACTGTGGATAACATATTCCGATCGACGACCACGTCGCTTGCACTTCGATGGCTTCTGCCATGCACGCGGTTGCTCAGCACTCAGCACTCATTACTTATACTCTTTTGGTGGGATTTAAACTTGTTGTATTCAATTCATACACTGCACTGACACATATCACTTTGGAGAATCACTGAATCTGCTGAATGGTTCTCATCAAAAGCACTGATTTCGAATGGTGCTAGAGTTGAAAATTAGCGAGTCCTCTTGATATCTATGCACCAATCGATCTCAGTTCTTCGATTCGAACGGTAATTGTAGGAGCTGAGCTGTCCTCGGCTGCTCCTGGTCGCCTCCCGGCGCTGACTGGGAAGCACAGTCTCTGGTCGGTCGGGGCCGTGATCACGATCGATTGCGAGTGCCGCTGTTGACTGTGTGTACGACAGGGGCGACCTCAGTTTAAATCTGAGAAACCTGTTACACCTGAGAAGATTTCCACAATAGACATTGCAAGTGGACCGGCTGCCAGTGTGAGCGTGAGTGTGAGTGTGCCCCCCAGCACACTCACTTCTGCGAGCCCACATGTAGATGTCGCAGATCAACTCACATTTCTGCTGGGCTGTCTTTTGTTGCCCCTTATGGCATTTGACGAACAGCAACAGCGCTCTCCAGCTCGATGCGCTCCATGTAATGGACACCTATCTTCGAGTGCGAGCATAAGCCTGCCGTTGGCTTTCCACGGCCCCAAGTAACCCAAGTGTCTAGGGCCTAGCACTCAGCTGCAGCTGGTGCTCTTCCTTTTGCCATTTATGTTTTCTTAAGTTTGGTAATTTAATTCAAGCGTACTTGGCTTGCATTTGAATAATTAGAATTGCATTGTCTCCGGTTTCAGCTGACGGTACCCGTCTAACTCGCCGCAATGTAGCAGGAAGCCAGCCTCGCCTCTCACCGCAATTTTCATCTACATGTTGTGGATTCTGTCCATACAGTAAGTAGTACCTACTATTAAAATCCTGACACAATGGACGATTTATCTGACAATTTTCTGCCTAGATTTTTGGGCGCTCAATCCCCAATCGCGCTTAATCATGGAATGCATCCAGTATCAGTATATGTATAAGAACATTCCATATTCCAGTCCTTATTCCGACTAAAATATACCGACTACTCGTAGTTCTAAACAGCACAATTATGTGCAGACAATATGGGGTTGCTTTCTATTTCAACATCGGATGTTTATGCAGGCAATTAAAATTATATATATATTTCTACAGACTCTTACATCATTTGACACGAATATAATACACCATTGGGACAGTTCTAGTACAGGGTATAAATACATGAATTCAATGTTCGATAGCGTCTAAAAAAGTTTCCATTATCGCCACCCCAAACACCGCACACCCTTTCAAGCGTATCCGTATCCGCCTACCAGAAGCTAATGAAAATGTGAATGAATGAACGCGAATCGATTGAGTAAACTGAGTGAACAGTTGGCGATCGCCTAACCACAGGCCCAACCTGCCAAGATATTCTTGACATGTCTAGTCAGAGTGTAAATGTATTATAAGTTAGAGTAAAATAGTTTGAGAACTATCTCTGCTGCCGTACATAGCCACAGAGAGTGAGACAGGAAATTTTGTACTCAACAGTCGCGGAGTGTTTCCCTTAGTCAGTCGATAGGTTTAAAACAACATGCTGATAACCGTATGGGAGTATACAGCATAGTACATATCTTCGGAACTAAGTATCTTTCATTCGAGCACCTACGATTGCTGGATTGCTACTTGTAGCGATAGTATCCGAGAGCGCGGTACACGCTTCAGGCACTTCATCTTGAACGACAATAAACACCATTTAATGGGGCGTGTCAATAGTACGACGGTATGCGTTGAATTTGTTAATGAGTCCCATTCGGCAGAGTGGTATGCCCTCCGCACCGCTCCCCCGATCGAAGACCGTGCCCGAGACAAGCACGTAATTACACCTGCGATAGCGCGTAGCGCCAAAAATCACTTGTTGAGTTAATCAAGAGATAAATATGGTTATTGGTATTATCAGAAGATTGGCTACTGATTCTCGGAACTCGAGGCAGTTTTCTTTCGCTCCCATAAATGCCTCAACTCTGCCAGGTTCGCCACTTAGTCGTTCGCGAATTTCGGACTACTTTAAAGCTGCTGAAAGTCTTCAAAATGCGCAACACCGATTTTTGTGGTGAGTGGCTAGTAAGGGCAAATCATGAAGCTTCTTCTATATACTCGTAACGTATCTCCGCAGCTCTTTGGACGCTTCTGCTGGTCGCAGCCGCATCCGCTCAACTATCGAGTGTCTGCCTCTATGAGCCGGACGGAACCCGACTGCCTGTGGTCACCCACTGCGGTCGCTTTGCGGTATGCCAACATGGAGAAGTGGCTGCCATCGGCAGCTGCCCCCGCGGTCTTCACTTCAATCGTGAACTGGCCGAGTGCGATTTCCAGTGGCGGGCCAACTGCTTGGGCTTGTCGCCATTCGCAGTTGCTGACGCCAGGGCTGATGCAGACTGCACCTGCACTTGTTGCGCCGATGAATGTCCGGACACTGACGAGGATGGGCCTGGTCTGACCACGTTGGTAACAGAGCCTTGCGACACGGAGTCGTCAACCACAGAACCAGTCGTCACAAGCTCTATAAACCCCACAGTACCGGATGAGCCCACGGATGGTGTCTCCGATGAGACTGCAGAATCCAATGAGACCACAACCGATGAGACCACAACCGACACGAACAATGCCGTCGACACCACTCCGTCCGTTCCATCCGGTGTGCCCACCTACTGCGCCAGCCAGCGCGATGAGTGCGCCAACGAGAGCAGCAATGCCAAGCTGCAAATTCCCGGAGAGTGCGGAAAGTACATCCAGTGCAGTAATAAATGCGTTTACGAGATCAGTTGTCCCTCCGGACTATACTTCAACTCCACTAACGGGAACTGTGATTACCCATGGAACGTGGATTGCACACCAGCGTACGTCGCGGACTCCCCAGAGGATATTGAGGGACCCTCGGGCACGACCTGTTCAAGTCAGGGCGTTTGTGCGGGCAAGCGTGACGGCACGTTGCTCGCCGATCCCGACACTAATGGATACTTCGTGTGCCAATGCCAGTGCCCCATCGCCATGCCCTGCGACGAGTACACCAAATTCAATCAGACTGCTCAGGTCTGCGATTGGGACTGGAGCGCCGAGTCTACTGCGGTTATCTGTCCCGAAGGTCTCGTCTACAACGCCACCTCAGAGGTGTGCGATTATCCTGAGGGATATGTTCCGAAAGTCGCCTGCAACAGCACCAGCACAGTGTGCCAGGGCGAGGAAGAAGGAGCCCTTTTCCCGGTCGATGGGGTGTGTAATAAGTTCTACAAGTGCAACTACAATTGTGCCGTTGAGCAGCTGTGCCCAAACAACTTGATCTTTGACGCCAACACTACGATCTGCGACTATCCACAAAACGTGGAGTGTCAGTGGCCACATACGCCGCCGTCAGGACCAAACGCCGGACCCTCGGGAATCGCTTGCGAGACCAACGGCCGCTGCCTGAACGCTCGGGAGGGCACCTATTTGCCATCCGAGACCAGTTGCAATGGGTACGTCATCTGCCAGTGCGAGTGCGAGGTCGAGTTGGCGTGTCCCGATGGCTTGTACTGGGACCAGGACCTATTGACCTGCAACTACAGCGTCAACGTCAAATGTAGTCTATAGCTTAAAGTCGTCCAATAAAATATATAATTTTTATGGCAACCGAATGGGCTGCGGTCCCTCGGCCCCTCGGCCCCTCTGCACTCATAAATCACTCTAATCAGTGTTGGACTGGACACATTTTAGCAGCTGTGTGCTATCAGTGCCTTGGGACGGCCAATTATATTTGATTAGCTAGCCTAGAGATGAAGAAGTGCGAATATGTATGATATAAATAAAATTGAGCGCATAATGGCAGCCTCTGAGGATTGGTGTGCAGAAAAACTATTTTGTGGAGTACATTTGCAGGTGAACCGACAATAAGGGGTTTACTGAGTTCTAAAGTATATAAAACATTGCTAAATATAGTCTGCAAAAGCTCAATTGATTTAGTTCCAATCACTTAAGGATTGTATGTGCTCCCCATTTATTTTGTCCATTACAAAAAAAGACCTGCACTGGTACCACTAATTGATTTAGTATTAAAACCAAAAATATATATCCTTAAAAATAGGCATCGACATTGAAAGTAAAGCAAAGCAAGATATCATTAAACATGCAGAAAAAGCAGCGATCAAAAGCTTCAACACTGAGGGATTCCAAATGGAATTTAAGCAATTGATATTGTTTGGACACTGGAATGAGTTCAGAGTCAACAACTTCCTCGAGCGCACCTCGATTGCGGGCCCCGCACCTCCTTCTGCTTTTCTCAAACGGAAAACGTAACTGACACTGTTATAAATAGTGACAACATCCTCTGCTCGTATGAATACCGAATGCGCTGATAAAATCAAGAGTGGTCTCACACTATCATCTCCGGGTGCCAGGAAAAGACATTTAATTATTTTAATTGCCCGAAAATATAAAAGCCGACATGGACCGATGGCTCTTCAGTACACGTTCAATATGCGTGGTGAAAAGATGTCTCAACCAACACATATACAGCTCGGTAAGTTCGCTCCCACTGATAGAGAAAAGTTTTCTCATTGTTCTTTGATTGCAGCCTTTTTCCTGTGCCTTACGCTTTCGGTTCTCGTTGGATCACTGAATGCAGAATGCTGCAAAGATGGCGAGATAAAGATCGACGAGGATGATTGCACCAAGTACTATGTCTGCTGCACCGGCAAGTTCGTTCAGAAATCTTGTGACCCTGGTGACTGGTGGAACTGGGCTTCCGGCAAGTGTGAAACAGATAACGGCGAGTGCAGCTGCGGCGAGACCCCGACTTGTACCGAAGGGGAATTGAAAGAGAATCCTGCAGACTGCGCAGCATATCTCGAGTGTGTGAATGGAATCTTTGTGAGTCAGAAGTGTGCCGATAATTCGTACTTTAACGTCACTCTGGGAATGTGCGTTATTGACGAAAACGGAGTGTGCGTTGGCTGTGAGGAGGGAAGCACTGATGCGGACTCCGCAGACTGTACCAAATATAAAGTCTGCTCCGGTGGAAAGTTCGTATCCAAATCGTGTGGCATCGGAGACTACTGGAACGCGCTTAAGTCCGAGTGCCAAAGGGACAATGGAGAGTGCAATGGAAACTCCACCTGCACAGAGGGAGAACTGGAGGCGGATCCCACAGACTGCGCTGGATATTGGGACTGTATCCAAGGAAACCTTGTGAGTCAGAAGTGTGCCGATAATTCGTACTTTAACGTCACTCTGGGAATGTGCGTTATTGACGAAAACGGAGTGTGCGTTGGCTGTGAAGAGGGAAGCACTGATGCGGACTCCCAGACTGACCAAATATAAAGTCTGCTCGGGAAAGTTCGTATCCAACGTGTGGCATCGGAGACTACTGGAATCCAAGGATGGAGAGTGCATGGAAACTCCACCGCAGAGGGAGAACTGGAGGCGGATCCCACAGACTGCGCTGGATATTGGGACTGTATCCAAGGAAACCTTGTGAGTCAGAAGTGTGCCGATAATTCGTACTTTAACGTCACTCTGGGAATGTGCGTTATTGACGAAAACGGAGTGTGCGTTGGCTGTGAGGAGGGAAGCACTGATGCGGACTCCGCAGACTGTACCAAATATAAAGTCTGCTCCGGTGGAAAGTTCGTATCCAAATCGTGTGGCAGCGGAGACTACTGGAACGCGCTTAAGTCCGAGTGCCAAAGGGACAATGGAGAGTGCAATGGAAACTCCACCTGCACAGAGGGAGAACAGGGCGTGAATCCCGCTGACTGCGCTGGATACTTGGAGTGTATCCATGGAAGCTTGGTTGCTAGAAAGTGTCCAGACTTGAACTACTTCAATGTCACACAGAAGCAGTGTGTTTTGGACACCGAAGGCGTGTGCATCAGCAAAGTCTGCGACCCAGAGTGCTGCGATAAGCCCGACAATTGGATGGGGCCTGTAGATAATAATTGTTCTGCCTTCATTCAGTGTGTCAATGGCATCAAATATGAGCAAAGGTGTCCGAATAACCTGCAGTTCAACAATATCACGCTTGGCTGTGACTTCCCTGAGAATGTGCAATGTGAGGACGGGTCTGCGCCACCCAGCGGTCCTAATGCCGGACCATCTGGCATCGCATGCGAAAGCCAGGGTCGTTGTGTTGGCAAGAGGGACGGAACCATGTTCGGCGATGCCAGCAATACGTGTAGCAACGCCTATGTGGTCTGCCAGTGCGAGTGTGAGGTGGAGCTCAGCTGCAGCGCTGGTTTGATATACAATCCGCAGTACAAGGTCTGCGATTGGCCCGCAAATGTGAATTGCTAAATAATTCAATAAACATATATTTTTGACAGCGCATATCAGTTAATATTGTAGGTTGAAATTAATGACCCGATCCCAGTTTCAGTACAAAATTATTTTCAGCATTTGGGGACCGTTAAAAAGAGGATTACGGATTTCGTAGTATTTTTTTTAGCTCTTGCTCAATATTTGGAGCTTCTCTTTCTGTTTTTTATTTTCTATTAAGCTAACAGTAATTGTCGAGCTTTGGCCTTATCGACGTGCATGCTATGAGGAGATAGGAATAGATTATCCGTAGTATGAAAATATGTGATGACTTACATATACGAAATTTATTTTATTTGCATGAAATTGTTACAAGGGACGATTTTTGGGTTTACGTGCTGAATTTTTTTTCTTTGAAGCAGCTTTATTTCCTGTTTGCTTCACCTGACAATTTGCAATCTTGGGATAGTCGCACCGCAACGTTTTGGAATTAAAATGTAGGCCTGTGGGACAATCCATTTCCAGGAACATCATATTGCTGCAGAGTAAAAACTTTCCACAATCTTTCTGATGGGCAACCAAAGAGTTCTCCTTTTCCTCGGGGCAGACCCCGGCGGATGTGGCTGGTTCCTCTAGGCGACGATCTTCCTGGCTCACCAGGCACTTGGCGTCTCTCGGCTTCATACAGATCCGACGAGTGGGACTAAAATGCTGATTGCTGGGACAGACGCGAAGATGCGGCTGCTTTGACTCGCACACAAAGTACTCACTGCAAGAGCCTTCTTTTGCCAGGGTCACACCATCCTTCTTACCAGCGCACACTCTGCTGATAAATGTGTCCAAAGTTTGTTGTGCCACAGGTCTCGGTCTCTGCTGCTTTGACGGTCGCCGCGTGGGTGGAATATCGATTTTCGGTGGCTCCTCATCCTCCTCACTGGCCGAGCTCGATCCATCGCTGTAATCATTTAGCTTGGTCTCGAATATGCAGTCCACGTCTATGGCATCATCGCAATGTAAAGTTTTGGGATTAAACAAAGTGCTACCGTCGCAGGATCCAATTACAGCGCTCCCATCAAGACACACATAATAGCCCCTACACGTTCCATACATGGGCAAAAGGCCCCCGTTCTTACCATCACATATGGATGTCTTAAACGAGAAACCGTCCTTTGAAGTCATAATAATTAGTTAGTTCTTTAATCATATTAATCTATTCATGGCTTTCGGTGCCACTGGTACCCACTTGAAGTCGAGCCAGAGATGTTTTATGTAGAACGCAAAGGGTCCAAAGTAGTCCTAGGAGCTTCATATTGCGTATCGCTATCGAACTGAACTTTTCCATTCATGGTACATCGTTTTTATACACTCACATTGAATGAAAATTTGCATGCAGTGCCAATAAGTAAACTGTTCTCCCTTTGATAATATCAAAGAAATCTGATAAATTCTCGAGTACTCATTCGCTATCTACTCGTATATTTCGTTACTAAGAATTGATAAGGAGGTTCATAAAGAACATATGTAACGTCTGATAAACACATACCCACTCGTATGCACATGTCTACACATATACATACATACATACACTTTACACACACAAATCTACGCCCAGAATTTCCTATGAATTTCACAAAAATTTTCAGAAATTTCGATCCAGTAGATTAAGTGTCAGCGGCCTTTCGTAAAAGTTAAAAATAAATAAATAATACACGAGGGGTGAGATCTGAATTCAAAAGTTGATTCCTTTTTAACTCAACTGATTAAATTGTATTTAATTGTGAACGAAAGAGGAAGCTTTATTGGGTGCACTTCCTGCAGGATAATTTCAAGGGGGAACGAACCAAACCTTTAAGTTTGAGCGGCGCAAAGCTTCATCAATGGATTCTGAACGGACAATGGACCAAAGCTAAAAGATAAGTTCATTAAATGAATATTCGATAATTTTCTAGTATATTTTCACAGCTTCAACTGATAAATATCCAAGAGGAGAAGCGCTGCGTTGGTTTTATATATTCCTAAAATAAATATCGATGCTTGCCTAAAAGTAGGCACCTTTACCGATGAGACGCTGTTTGTTTTGTCCCCTTTCCACTTTACTCTCTATCGAAGGGATGTTCCCTGTTCATAGCTACTTACTTATATTGTCTTTCATCGTTATCATCGTTTCATTGTTAATTGTTAATTGTCTTGCACTATCTAGCTTATAGTACAGCCTATAGGAAAATACGAGCTGAGCGATAGTAGCCATCAGCAATCACTGAATATTTGGAACCTGTTGTCTGTTTCCTTGACCAAGATACGCATTCTGTTTTGATTTCTTAGAGCTCCTACTAAACCCTTATCAACTTGAATTAGTCATTATCGACGAAACGGACATACGGCTGATATGATTGGCAGGCGACTATCTGTTTATTTTGAATAAGAATTGCCAAAAAATTCAGTTTAGTAATTTTTGAACCGTGGGACCATAAACACATGTGAATTTACGAGAATAAATTCAAGTTCAAACCGATTAGCGAAAAATAAAACTCATATAAAATGAAAGGTAAGGGTTTCATACAATATGGTAAAATTGAAAATATTTTAAATTTCTTATTTTCTTCTCATTTTAGTTTTAGACTGGAAATGGTATACGTTCATCGCTTACCTTTTGACAACCGTCTGCGATGGCTCCCCATCTTCTTACCAAACTTCTGGTAATACGATAAAGGACTGCCTTTTTCCACCAGAAGTGGACTCTGCCTTTTGTGTGTCGCGGCCCGTCGGAAACTATGAATATCCCTACGACTGCAGCGCCTACATTTCGTGCACCGAGACATGTGCTGAATTGGAGAACTGCCCGCACGGAAAGCTCTTCAATGATCTTTTGCGTATTTGCGATACACCGGAAGCCGTTGATTGCACGGAATCGCCGTACCCAACCCCTCCGAGCTCCGAAGCAGATCCGTGCGTTGGCCAACCAAACCGTACTCTCCTTTCGTCCGAGAGTGCGTGCAACCAGTTCATCGTGTGTGTGGACGAGCATGGGGAAGTGGACCAGTGCCCGGGCCAGATGCTATTCAATCCAGCCCTTCGCATCTGTGACTTTCCAAATGAAGTCTTGTGTTACGCTGACCAATCGACGACTACTGAGGGGCCATTCAACGACTGTGTCGGTCAGAAGCAGGGAACATGCTTTCCGTACCGGGAAAACTGCCAGCAGTATTACTACTGCTTTGGCAACAACTCATTCATAGTCCTTCCCTGTCCTGTTGACAATTGGTACAACCCGTACACTGGCCATTGTGGGCCAGAGGTCCCAACAGAAGCTTGCCGCGAAGTGACAACATCTACAACGCCCATCACACTGCCTCCAACCACCCTAGACCAGAAGGACCTATGTGCTGACCAGGAGCTGGGCGTCACATTTTCTTTGGAATCAGACTGCCAACAGTACGTTCTGTGTATGGGCGGTGGTCAATCCGCGATCGCCAAGTGTCCAGTGAATGCATGGTTCGATCCGAATACTGGCGATTGCGGACCAAATGTATCGCCCACAGCGTGCTGCGACTCATTAACGACAAGCACAACCGCTCAAACTACCCAAAGCTGGGACGATCTTTGCGCCGATCAGAAGCTGGGCTACTCTTACCCACTAGTGACGAACTGCCAGCAGTATATCCTCTGCATGGGGGACGGGAGCTACAGCATAGCGAATTGCATTTACAACGCCTGGTATGATCCTCAAACGGGCAATTGCGGCCCCGAGGTTTCACCTACAGCCTGCACGGAGCACGGAATCGCTACTGAATCAACTGCCAGTCAATCCACCACTCCATCCACCACATATTCTACTAGTTGGACCACCATTCAGACTCAAGACACAACCTCGAGTCTGCCAATTAATGAAATCTGCTCAGGCCAGAGCGACGGTCATTACGCTTCCTATCCCGAAGATTGCAGCAAATACATAGTATGTGCTAGCCCGGTTCCTATTGCCTTTTACTGCACGGACGGATACTACTTCAACGAGGCACTGCAGCAATGCGTCGAGTGGCAGCTGAGTGACTGCCCAAAAAGAGAGACGACAACTTTATCGCCCAGCCATACCACACCAACCCCAAGTCCGACGGTGTGCCTCAACAAACCGGGCCACACCTTGCCGTTTCCAGATAATTGCCAGTGGTTTATACGCTGCGTGAACGATGTCGTTTATATGATGGGCGTGTGTGGAAGTGGGGAGTTTTTCGACCCATTCGCAGGACATTGTGGTCCCGATGTATCCCCGGATGCCTGTCAATGGGACTACGACTCAACTACATCAGTTCCAGCTACAACCGGCTACCCAACGACTCTCAGTACCCCAAGTACCCCGACTACAGAAGCTACAGATCCCTGCGAGGGAATGCCTAATGGTAAACTTGTTCCCTATCCCACCGACTGCAGCAAGTTCATACAATGCGTCCGACCTTCACCCATCGTCTATGACTGTGAAGACGGGCAAGAGTTCAGTGCATCGCTCGAACGGTGCATGGCTCCGTGGTTTGCGAATTGTTCGATCCCAGCTACAACCACACCGCTTCCCTCTAGCACCACAACTGTTGGGACTCCAGCACAGGGTAGCTTATGCGCAGATCAACCCGAAGGCTCCCTGGTTTCCTATCCCGGAAATTGCAGCAAGTACATAGTTTGCCAAGATCCCATTCCAGTGGGCTATGCGTGTGCAGATGGGGAAGAGTTAAGTCCCACCAATCTAGCCTGCATGGAATCCCAGCTGGCCTGTTGCAGCCCCCATGCATTGGCCAATACTAATCAAATCCCAAAGAGCTTGATCTGGCAGTCCCTTAAGGCAATTGCAAGATACATTTGGTAATCTTGATGAAATATTTAATGTGCATTTATTGAATATGCAAAATAAAACGGGTTTTCGAATCAATCCCGTGACATAAACCTCGTTTTGGTTTCAGTTTTAGTGGAATATCTGGCATCCACTGCTGGAGGCAGTGCAGGAAACCATACTGGGGTTCCAGAACAAGTCAGCCGGGCAATTCAGCATAGTGGCCGTTGGGCCACAGTGGATAAACTTGTGGCAGTCCCCGGGAAACGGAATATATGAATTTGGGACGCTATTCCTGCACAGCGACTGTGCATCGATCGGGGCATTGTAGTCCGGCTCTGGAGCAGGCCAGGAGGCTATTGGCGGTGGAGTGGCAGCAGTGGGCACTATAGATGGGATCATGGGATAATTGGGATCGGTTGGTGGCACGCTGTTCCAAGGTGGCAGAGACTCGCAGCTGCCGACGTACTGAGAATGCTCGCAGCTCTGACTACGCGGATTAAATAGATAGTTATTGGCACAGCGAAGGACCCGCTTCTCGTAGAAGCGACTGCAGTCTCCAGGATAGGCGCTGTATTCCACCCAACCCTCTGTGTCCGGGGCATGGCAGTCGGAGTACTCTCGGTAATCGCAACGGTAGTTACGCTGGCTCCAAAACAAGTTGTCCGGACACTGCTGCAGGTAGGAATGGCCTCGGAGGCAGGTAAAGTACTTGCGGCAGTCACTGGGGAATGGCAGCATCACAACACGGCTGGGATCGTCATAGGCTGGACATTGTCCCATGGTAATGGACGTGTCAGCATTGATGGGCTACGCAAAACAAAGATTTAAGATCGGATGAAGATACTGATGTAGAGTACTTACCACATCATTATACGCCCCGGCACCCACAGCGACAAGCACTGCTACAAAGACCCCACGGGCAAAAACAGAGGCGCGCATCACTGTTACAAGACAGGAAGGTAGATGGGTATTGTATTGATTTGTAATGTATTTAACTTACTATTGATTCCCTCCAGCGATGGCTCAATAAAGGTATGATGCCCACCTTTCGGCTGCACCGTCTTTTATACAAAACATTGTGGCACCTTATCTGTGGCAAATACTTCAATATTATTTATCCCACAGCGTTCTTTATTTGCGAGTTTATTTGAGTATTATGAGAAACATTTCTAGGGAATCACTCTTGAAATCCCTTGAACTTCTTGACATTTATTTATCCATACCAAGAAAATAAATCTGCTGTAAGGGAAAATTCAATTCTATTTGCTGATATGGACTTGGCAACCACTTAACCGGACAAGTTTATCATTCCAAGGCCAGACGACACTCGTACAAGTGAAACTGATTCGAAGTGAGTTTTATATTCAGCTAATCAAGATAATTATTATAAGGTAGCTAGAGTTTGAGGGCTTATTAATGTGTTTATATACTGGTATTTCTTACAGCTGTGTTTAAAATTGAGAGACCAGATGGCAAAGAAACGAACAGAAAGATGGGCATGACATGGCTGAGTCGCATTGCAAAAAATTCCACTTTGTAACGATGGCTTATGGTGGTATACACGAACGCAACATACCCCAGAACTTATGCCGATCAGGGTACATACCCTCTTGAGAACTTTGTGTGGTCGGAAGTGCTTCCCTCTCGCTAAAGCTAATAATTACATTAATTGGTGTGTACAATTGCTGAGCGTTTATCACTGCGCCATGTCAATACCCCGCACTCATATACTGGAGTGTCATAAGGAGAGGCTCGCCTGTACATCGATATAAAAACCAAAACAGTTGGTTAGCAGTTCAGATATACGGCAGGCCGTGGATTGTCCGCATCTCCTTGAGAAGTATATTTATTGATTATAAACATTTTCCCCCACAACACTATTAATATACTATGTCAGTGGATATACAAGTTTTGCTTTTAGGAGCTCTGATCGTGTTGAGTTCTGTGTTGTTTCACACACAGGCTATGACTAGAGAGCCCTTTCAAAGCGACTGCAATCGGTTCTACGAGACGCGCGTGCTAAGCTGCCCTCCGGACCTTCACTGGAACGCACAACTGCAGCAATGTGGCACACAGTCCCTGTCAGGTTGTTCCGCCACCGCAACCGACAACCTATCAGTCACATGTGCAGAGAAACTTGGACAACTAATTCCATATCCTGGTGACTGTACACGCTTCATACAATGCGACTATCTTCCCTTTGTGAAGAACTGTCCACAGTATCTCTTCTGGAACTCGAAACTTCTCACCTGCGACAAAAAGTGTGTCTAATTGTTTTCAAAATAGTTAATAGATTGTCTTGCAATAACAAAAATCAAATGCAAGCCCCATATTTTTCAATTATTATTTTTAAAAATGTTTCGGGATACTTTCTGTTTTCTTATGACTTTTATTAAATATTAATTACAATTGCAGAGCCTATGAAATATTTAAGAAATGGCAGTAAGATGCTAAAATTACTTGCAAAAAACACTTAAATGCTTATGAACTTGCTGCATAAAAATACAAATATGTGGGTGTTTTTTGGTGCCAGTTATACAATGTTATACAATTGAGCCCCTTGGGAACTGATCTACTATATTGTTGGGTGGGTGGGGTTATTGGCTCTCTCCTTCTCCCTTAGCACTTGCCGTTGGCTGGGGCCTTTGGGCGACAGATCTTGCTGCGTCCATTCGCACCGTAGACAATGTTACATGAGAAGGTGAAGTATCCGCAGGTCGAGGACTTGGTGTAGTACGTGGACTGGAAGTTCTTGTTATCCTGCGGTGGGTTCTTGCTATTGTCCATGCTGCCAGTCACCGACTTGGTGACTGTTACATAGCTGTCTGGGGCGCGAGGCGCTTTGCTGCCAGGAGTGGGTGCACTCGAGGCATCGGAGTCAGTGTCGGCACTGATCTCGAGCTTCTTCTCGGTATTGTGCAGCTCGAGCGACTTGGTGTGGAACTTCTTTTGAACGTTCACCGTGCCGCGGAACCCACTGGGCACGGACTCGGTGGTTGATTCCGTGTAGCTATTGACGAGACCATTCTGTTTCTGCACCAGCTGATACTTTTCCGCTGGCAATGGGGCCACTACGGCCTGCTGCTTCTGCGTGGGAGACGACTGGGTATAGGTCTGTGGATGAGGTGTGGACTCCGCAGCACTAATCTTGCTGGGTGCCTTTGGACCCTCCTCTAGTTTGACAGGCTTCTCGTTGTAGTACTCATCCTCGTCGTATTCATCCTCTTCCTCATCGTCGTATTGGACTGGCTCCGACTGATCTGGCTTTTTATCGACCTTCTCGGGCTCCTCTTTGCTCGTCTTTGTAGACTTCAGCTGCAGCTCGGGTATTGAATCGGATTCAGACGTGAGTGCTGGGCCACTATAGACGGCATCAGCACGATCCGTAACACTGAAATTGAACAATAATTTAATGAAATGCTCCGAAAATTTCCATCTGGGTGTACCCACGCATTGCCACTATTGCCAAACTGGCTGATGGTATTGAAGAGCTCTCTATTCTGCTCCCGATAGGTGTCCACCTGCTCCTTAGTTCCTGACGCGGACTGTGCAGCGCCATGATATGATACACCAAAGCTGAAAATGGAAGTCGTTTAGAATGCTGGTGTCTTTGGAGCCTCACTCTGTTATTACCTGGACGTTCCTTGGATCTGGGACTGGCTTTGACCAGAATGGCTGCCCGATTGCGCCGAAGCCGTACCGCCGCCTGGTGCCGCTGCTGAGCTGGTATCCTGACCAGGACGGAAGCCGATTTGAGCTTGGGAAGATGTCTGACCGGGTCCACTGGACTGGGCATCGGCCAAGCCACCCTTATCGTTGGCCTGCACCTCACTCTGGCTCTGGTGAATCAGACCTCCACTCTGTGATGAAGCCTTGGTGCCTCCATCCTTGTTGTTTACCTGCACTTGAGCCTGGGACTGTGCCGGTCCTCCGGAGCCCTGGGACTGGCTCATAGCGCCATCAGCATTGCCAGTAACCTGGGCGCTGGCAGCCCGATCTGCATCGGAAGTCATTGCACTGGCGCTGAAAGAACCACCCGTACTGTATGTGCCGGACACTTGGGTCTTAGCCGTGCCTCCATTCTTTTTGCCCTCGGCACTGGCAGATGCCTGGCCGTTGCCAATCGTGGACGCCGCTTGAGAGAATGTATCATCAGCTCCACCAGAAACAGCACCTGGCGCACCTTAAATTCGCAAGTTATCTTTTTTTATCAGTGTACTGACTTTTCAAGACTTACCAACACCAGCACCACCAGTAGGAGTGACACCAGCTCCAGCTGTATAGCGTCCTGGAGCACCTATTTGACCGTCTGAAGTACCGCCGGTTCCTGGTTGCCTTCCACCAAACTGCGATCCTCCTTCTCCGGGCTGTTGGACTCCATAACCGTGTTGTCTGGGCTGTCCAGCACCGATACCAGTCTGACTTCCTACGGCTGGCTGACTTCCGTATCCGGGTTGACCTCCAACGCCAGGTTGACCGCCAAATCCGGGTTGTGCTCCACCGATACCAGTCTGACCTCCTACTCCTAGCTGAGTTCCGTATCCGGGTTGACCTCCAACGCCAGGTTGACTGCCAAATCCGGGCTGTCCACCAGCTCCTGGCTGAGTTCCGTATCCGGGTTGACGTCCAGCGCTAGGTTGACCACCAACTCCTGGCTGGGTTCCGTATCCGGGTTGACCTCCAACTCCAGGTTGACCGCCAAATCCGAGCTGTGCTCCTCCGATACCAGTCTGACTTCCTACTCCAGGCTGAGTTCCGTATCCGGGTTGACCTCCAACGCCAGGTTGACTGCCAAATCCGGGCTGTCCACCAGCTCCTGGCTGAGTTCCGTATCCGGGTTGACTTCCAACTCCAGGTTGACGACCCAATCCGGGCTGTCCTCCACCGATACCAGTCTGACTTCCTACGCCTGGCTGAGTTCCGTATCCGGGTTGACCTCCAACGCCTGGTTGACCACCAACTCCTTGCGGAGTTCCGTATCCTACGCCTGGCTGTGTACCGTAGCCGGGTTGAACTCCAACGCCAGGTTGACTGCCAAATCCGGGCTGTCCTCCACCGATACCAGTCTGACTTCCTACTCCTGGCTGAGTTCCGTATCCGGGTTGACGTGCAAATCCGGACTGGTCTCCACCGATGACTCCCTGTCCGGGTTGACTGCCAAATCCGGGCTGCACACCACTGATGACTGTATGTCCACCAACTCCTGGCTGGGTTCCGTATCCGGGTTGACCTCCAACTCCAGGTTGACTACCAAATACGGGCTGTCCTCCACCGATACCTGTCTGACTTCCTACGCCTGGTTGAGTTCCGTATCCGGGTTGACCCCCAACTCCAGGTTGGCCTACAACGCCAGGTTGACGTCCAAATCCGGGATGTCCACCAGCTCCTGGCTGAGTTCCGTATCCGGGTTGACTTCCAACTCCAGGTTGACCGCCAAAGCCGGGCTGTGCTCCACCGATACCAGTCTGACTTCCTACTCCTGGCTGAGTTCCGTATCCGGGTTGACCTCCAACTCCAGGTTGACCGCCAAAGCCGGGCTGTGCTCCACCGATACCAGTCTGACTTCCTACTCCTGGCTGAGTTCCGTATCCGGGTTGACCCCCAACTCCAGGTTGGCCTACAACGCCAGGTTGACGTCCAAATCCGGGCTGTCCACCAGCTCCTGGCTGAGTTCCGTATCCGGGTTGACCTCCAACGCCAGGTTGACCGCCAAAGCCGGGCTGTGCTCCACCGATACCAGTCTGACTTCCTACTCCTGGCTGGGTTCCGTATCCGGGTTGACCTCCACCGCTGGGTTGACCACCAGATCCTTGTTGTGTTCCGTATCCGGGTTGACCTCCAACGGCAGTTTGACTGTCAAATCCGGGCTGTCCTCCACCGATACCAGTCTGACTTCCTACTCCTGGCTGAGTTCCGTATCCGGGTTGACCACCAACGCTGGATTGACCACCAGCTCCTGGCTGAAATCCGTATCCGGGTTGACTGCCAACGCCAGGTTGACTACCAAATCCGGGCTGTCCTCCACCGATACCAGTCTGACTTCCTACTCCTGGCTGAGTTCCGTATCCGGGTTGACCCCCAACTCCAGGTTGGCCTACAACGCCAGGTTGACGTCCAAATCCGGGCTGTCCACCAGCTCCTGGCTGAGTTCCGTATCCGGGTTGACCTCCAACGCCAGGTTGACCGCCAAAGCCGGGCTGTGCTCCACCGATACCAGTCTGACTTCCTACTCCTGGCTGGGTTCCGTATCCGGGTTGACCTCCACCGCTGGGTTGACCACCAGATCCTTGTTGTGTTCCGTATCCGGGTTGACCTCCAACGCCAGGTTGACCGCCAAAGCCGGGCTGTGCTCCACCGATACCAGTCTGACTTCCTACTCCTGGCTGGGTTCCGTATCCGGGTTGACCTCCACCGCTGGGTTGACCACCAGATCCTTGTTGTGTTCCGTATCCGGGTTGACCTCCAACGGCAGTTTGACTGTCAAATCCGGGCTGTCCTCCACCGATACCAGTCTGACTTCCTACTCCTGGCTGAGTTCCGTATCCGGGTTGACCTCCAACGCTGGATTGACCACCAGCTCCTGGCTGAAATCCGTATCCGGGTTGACCTCCAACGCCAGGTTGACCACCAACTCCTTGCGGAGTTCCGTATCCTACGCCTGGCTGAGTTCCGTAGCCGGGTTGACCTCCAACGCCAGGTTGACCGCCAAAGCCGGGCTGTGCTCCACCGATAGCAGTCTGACTTCCTACTCCTGGCTGAGTTCCGTATCCGGGTTGACCTCCAACGCCAGGTTGACTGCCAAATCCGGGCTGTCCTCCACCGATACCTGTCTGACTTCCTACGCCTGGTTGAGTTCCGTATCCGGGTTGACCCCCAACTCCAGGTTGGCCTACAAAGCCAGGTTGACGTCCAAATCCGGGCTGTCCACCAGATCCTTGTTGTGTTCCGTATCCGGGTTGACTGCCAATGCCAGGTTGACTGCCAAATCCGGGCTGTCCTCCACCGATACCAGTCTGTCCACCAGCTCCTGGCTGGGTTCCGTATCCGGGTTGACTGCCAATGCCAGGTTGACTACCAAATCCGGGCTGTCCTCCACCGATACCAGTCTGTCCACCAGCTCCTGGCTGAGTTCCGTATCCGGGTTGACCTGGAACGCCAGGTTGACTGCCAAATCCGGGTTGATCACCATCGACACCAGTCTGTCCACCAGCTCCTGGCTGGGTTCCGTATCCGGGTTGACCTCCAACTCCAGGTTGACTACTAAATCCAGGCTGTCCTCCACCGATACCAGTCTGACTTCCTACTCCTGGCTGGGTTCCGTATCCGGGTTGACCTCCAACGCTGGGTTGACCACCAGATCCTTGTTGTGTTCCGTATCCGGGTTGACTGCTAATGCCAGGTTGACTGCCAAATCCGGGCTGTCCTCCACCGATACCAGTCTGTCCACCACCGATACCAGTCTGTCCACCAGCTCCTGGCTGGGTTCCGTATCCGGGTTGACTGCCAATGCCAGGTTGACTACCAAATCCGGGCTGTCCTCCACCGATACCAGTCTGTCCACCAGCTCCTGGCTGAGTTCCGTATCCGGGTTGACCTGGAACGCCAGGTTGACTGCCAAATCCGGGTTGATCACCATCGACACCAGTCTGTCCACCAGCTCCTGGCTGAGTTCCGTATCCGGGTTGACCTGGAACGCCAGGTTGACTGATACTGATACCATTGATACCAGTCTGTCCACCAGCTCCTGGTTGGGTTCCGTATCCGGAACCTGCGCCGCCGGGTCCTACCTGCCCGTCGCTGGGAAAAGGCCCGATTCCTTGTTGCCCACCACTGATTGCTGGATATCCTCCAATATCAGGCATTCCACCAATTTGACTTCCAGCACCAGGTTGACTACCAAAACCAGGCTGTCCGCTCACAGCATCTAAATAAGTAATTCCTTCAGATACCACAAACGCAATATGGTTCGGAATGACTAACCTGCTCCTGGTAGACTAATGATAGCATCAGGTCTTCCGATAAGGCCTCCACTTCCATCAAGTGAGCTGCCAGTTTGATAGCCGGAACAGCCGCTGCAATCTCCCGCAGAGAACTGACTCTGGGCCTGCCCCATACCGTGACTACCAGCTAAGAAGGGATCAGAAATCCATTACACTCGTTCCATTAATTTAGATTTATGTATCACTTACAGACTACAGAGCGCGAGCCGCTTTCGGTAGCCTCTGCTTCGGCCTTGCCGTCCTCTTCGGGTTTACCAAAGTTCAAATACTGCGACTGCGTCTGCCCTCGTGCACTGGTAGGTTTAAATGATTTATTTTGATTATATAAGTCTGATCTGCTTGTATCCTACTTACTAGCCTCTGCCGCTTCTCTTTGATCGCTCCAAATCAGCCAGGCCAGAGAGTTCATCTTCGTTCTGCGACGATTGATCCTGTAAGTGATTGAACAAACTTATTAAGTTCAATGCTAATGTCAGCTTTATCACGAGTCATTCAGGCGAGTACTGAGTCCATTCCTTATTTCATTCTGTGTCTAAAACTGACCTTGGTCAAATTGGGTCTTATCGCTTACTATTGGAACGAGTTCATTTACATTGAACCACGCACACAGCCACAGTCACGAGCTCAAGCTCTTTGGTTTCATTAACAATTTTGACACTTACGATAGCCGCTCCATTGGCGCTCGCTATGAGCACCACGACGCCTAGTAGCAGGCCCCAGCGAAAGGGCAGCATTTCAATAAATCTAATTTCGAATCCAATTGAAACGTGTCGACGTCGACTGAACACAACCAGCAAACTGTAAGATGAAATTTAATTGTATTATCAACACATTTGATTGGACAGCACACATGCTCGTTAATATTAGTTTATGTTCCCTCCCATCCGAGGGGTTATCTCTTCTCTTTCGAATGGGGACACACGATTCTATTAGATGCCAAAAAAAGTATTATAAAAAAAAAAAACAATTGATCTTGGGCTCAATTTCCGTTTTAGGCATGATGTAATCACACAAGCTAATGACTTTCAATTTCATTTTGGTGAATGTGCGTGAACTCGTACATAAGACTATAATATTTGAACTATGCATATTTATAAAACATTTATAAATATTATTTGATTAATGGTTCTGATCAATTTATGTTAAATATAGCCATTTTCATTTCTGAAATATCACTTATTGAAATTTATAATGGATCTTAATAATTTTCAAGTCACTTTAGCCATCATTAGGGTCTTAATAGCTCTGGAAGATCCAGACTTGTAATTGATTTAATTTTTTGTTTAAATGTTAACAGCTTAAATCGATCTTTTATTTTTTTAGCTGTTAATATATATTCTATTAAGAAACATATAAAGTCAAGAGATGTATGGAGATGGACCATGTCTTTGTTTTGATCCTTTTTCCCCACTTTAATATGATTTAATTTATTATTTGGTTCACTTGTTTCGTCCTTCGACTGTGTTTCTTCCATATCACATACTACTTCAAATGTATGCTAATAGGATTCCAATGGGAATATTCCGATCTGCTTCCGAACGCGACAACTGCTGGATTGCGAATAACGTTGGGCTGTCCGAGCTTGAGAGCTTGAGTAGAACACAAATTCTATCTCTATCATGCACTACACTATCTATGTACACTATCTCTTCAGAAAGTTCACTCATTAACATTTGTTGATGGGTCTTAATAATGTTCAAGTCACTTGAGCAAGGTCCATCGGTAGGTCCTTAATATCCCTGGAACATTCATTATTGAAATTCTTAATGTTTAATATCACAATGTTAGGGATTTTTTCAATTTTCACATCACAAATCCTTAAGTTGTATAAACCTGCTAATATTTATTCTGGCAAGAAACAGAAGTCAAAAGATATACGGCGATGGACCATGTATCCGACACCATTTGGTTATAATCCTTTTTCCAACTTCAATGTGATTTCATTTATTTGTTTTGTATTCACTTATCGTCCTTCATTTGACTGTTTTTCTATCATTTCACATACTTCTTCGCCTGTGTGCTAATAGGGTTCCAAGGGGAATGTTCCGATCTGCTTCCGAACGCGACAACTGCTGGATTGCGAATAACGTTGGGCTGTCCGAGCATCAAAACTCTAGAGCTTGAGTAGAACTCAAATTCATTGAAGGCGAGCAATTTCCAATACATTTGCATTTAGCCAGCAGCATGAATATTTATGTAGGACTCACACAACCACAGAAGTCTGGTTCGAGTATCTGCCCTATCGCATACACATAACAACGCCGCACCACACCACACCACACACAACCACACAGAGACACAGGCCAGGCCACTTAGAGCTCTGTGCTCGTCGCCAGTGCCATTCATTGAAGTGTCTATGTCTATTCCATTACATATCAACAGTTTGATCGTGTCAATCGATCACTTGGCTTTGCTGAGTACGGGACTGGAGAGACCGCGACCCGCGACACCCTCCATCGAGTGTATCTCTGGAAGGGGCATTACAACATCATCGTCTTCGCCAACGGCTGGGGGAGACTTTTGACCCATTTTAAGGAAATGTGCTGGCATTTATTAGCATATAAAGATATCCAATTGTGTATCTTTTGGATATACTATTTTCAAGTGTGTCCCTTCTTCGGCTCATTTGCCATTCACGCTCGGGTGTCTCTCTCTCTCTTTTTCTCTCTTGTAGTATCTGTCTTAATTACTTTGGGCCTCGAGTTCCCAAGGAACTGTTCTACAAAGCGGAATCCGGCGGAAGTAATTTGTTTTGATAACCTTTGGGACCAAAAATTTGCGTTAGCTCTCTGGTTAGACAGTCCATCGTCATATCTATTTATAGATCAGGCCCCTCCCCTCCAGTCCCACAGCATCAATCCTGAGCTCGAGTTTCCCTTATCTGCTGAAAGCTTCTAAAAAGCCATGTGTTTGAATTGAACTCAAGCATTAAATAGCATTTTTATACCCCCATCCACTGTATGGGGTATGTTTCAAGGCTAATAATATTTTTAATTGAAGCCCAGTTTGATAAGATCAACACAAAATAATATTAATAAAAAGCACAGCAACAAATTGCGTAGGCCTATTGAACTAAATTTGCATGCAACCAAAAATGAGATCTATTGAGAGCATCTACACGTACACACTCTGTAGACGATCAGACTGTTAGTTTTCCTTGATGGTCCGAGGCACTTTCAATTTCGATAAGACTGATCAGTGATGACGTACTCAAATTTAACCAAACAAATTGCATCTACTCGTATAAGTAAGCTTTGGGTTTTTTTATTGTAAATAATGTGGGATCTTCCAGACCATAAACATATGTTTTCCAATGTTGAACTAAATTTAATTTCCATCCATAAAAAATGCCAACAACACCAAAAAAAAAAGCAAAATCGGCTACTCATCTTGGTATATTTTTCTTTATTTCAATTAAAACTGTAATTAAAATTCAATTAAAACAAAATTTACCAAGAAATAATAATATTATACGAGTAACTGTTCAAGCACATTACTGGCAAAACCGCTGGGATTTTTCGCATACTTCCTTTACAGGGTTCCAGAACAGTCCAGAATTACAGCTCATTAATACGCCACGCTCACCGAAACACTTAATAAATTTTGCACAGTCGTTTGGGAAAACGTCGAAATTCATACCCATTGCACAAGATATAGTTTCATTCTTTTGTTGCTGAGTTTTACAGGAGCTACTGGACCAATCGCATACTTTCATGCCGGGATTCCAATACAAAGGCTTGGGACAGTTTTGGACTATTGGTTGGCCATTGCTGCACTGGATATACTTCGTACAATCGGTTGGATGTGCCAGAAAATCTATCCCCTTCTTGCATATCTTTTTATCGGGAGCAACATTTCCACTATTGTTGTAGCAACCGCTGTCATCATAGCCACAGTATAAATTCTGATAATTCCAGAAGAGACCATCTGCACAATTCATGATATTCTCATGTCCGTTGCTACACTGTATAAATTTATGGCAATCCGATGGATGAGGCAAGTATTGAGCCCCACTGGCACATGACATCGGCGGTAAAGGAGAAGGTGACGTCGCCGGGCTAGACGTCGATCCAGTTCCAGACAAAGTCGTCTCAGTGGAATAAGGACTTGTTATCGCTGGCTCGGATGTTGAATCCGATGGGGATGAGCTGGCGAGGCCAGTTGTCGAATCTACCTCATCTGAGGTACTCTCTAAAATTAAAAAAGTCAAATCTTAAGCTGTGGTGCTTATTTCAGGAGGAGAAGAAGTATCGTCCTTACCAGAGGTGCTCTCTACAGGAGCAGAAGTCGAATCCCCAGGATCAGGAGTAGTATCTTCCTCTGCTGTGGTGCTCTCTTCAGTAGCAGCAGTCGAATCCTCAGCAGTGGTGCTTATTTCTGGATCAGGAGTAGTATCTTCCTCCGTTGTGGTGCTCTCTTCAGTAGCAGCAGTCGAATCCTCAGCAGTCGTGCTTATTTCTGGATCAGGAGTAGTATCTTCCTCTGCTGTGGTGCTCTCTTCAGTAACAGCAGTCGAATCCTCAGCAGTCGTGCTTATTTCTGGATTAGAAGTAGTATCGTCCTCCGTTGTGGTGCTCTCTTCAGTAGCAACAGTCGAATCCTCAGCAGTCGTGCTTATTTCTGGATCAGGAGTAGTATCTTCCTCTGCTGTGGTGCTCTCTTCAGTAGCAGCAGTCGAATCCTCAGCAGTCGTGCTTATTTCTGGATTAGAAGTAGTATCGTCCTCCGTTGTGGTGCTCTCTTCAGTAGCAGCAGTCGAATCCTCAGCAGTCGTGCTTATTTCTGGATTAGAAGTAGTATCGTCCTCCGTTGTGGTGCTCTCTTCAGTAGCAGCAGTCGAATCCTCAGCAGTCGTGCTTATTTCTGGATCAGGAGTAGTATCTTCCTCCGTTGTGGTGCTCTCTTCAGTAGCAGCAGTCGAATCCTCAGCAGTCGTGCTTATTTCTGGATTAGAAGTAGTATCGTCCTCCGTTGTGGTGCTCTCTTCAGTAGCAGCAGTCGAATCCTCAGCAGTCGTGCTTATTTCTGGATCAGGAGTAGTATCTTCCTCTGCTGTGGTGCTCTCTTCAGTAGCAGCAGTCGAATCGTCAGCAGTCGTGCTTATTTCTGAATCAGGAGTAGTATCTTCCTCCGTTGTGGTGCTCTCTTCAGTAGCAGCAGTCGAATCCTCAGCAGTCGTGCTTATTTCTGGATCAGGAGTAGTATCGTCTTCTGCTGTGGTGCTCTCTTCAGTTGCAGCAGTCGAATCCTCAGCAGGGGTGCTTATTTCGGGATCAGGAGTAGTATCTTCCTCTGCTGTGGTGCTCTCTTCAGTAGCAGCAGTCGAATCGTCAGCAGTCGTGCTTATTTCTGGATCAGGAGTAGTATCGTCCTCTGCTGTGGTGCTCTCTTCAGTTGCAGCAGTCGAATCCTCAGCAGGGGTGCTTATTTCTGGATCAGGAGTAGTATCTTCCTCTGCTGTGGTGCTCTCTTCAGTAGCAGCAGTCGAATCGTCAGCAGTCGTGCTTATTTCTGGATCAGGAGTAGTATCTTCCTCTGCTGTGGTGCTCTCTTCAGTTGCAGCAGTCGAATCCTCAGCAGTGGTGCTTATTTCTGGATCAGGAGTAGTATCTTCCTCCGTTGTGGTGCTCTCTTCAGTATCAGCAGTCGAATCCTCAGCAGTCGTGCTTATTTCTGGATCAGGAGTAGTATCGTCCTCTGCTGTGGTGCTCTCTTCAGTTGCAGCAGTCGAATCGTCAGCAGTCGTGCTTATTTCTGGATCAGGAGTAGTATCGTCCTCTGCTGTGGTGCTCTCTTCAGTTGCAGCAGTCGAATCCTCAGCAGGGGTGCTTATTTCTGGATCAGGAGTAGTATCTTCCTCTGCTGTGGTGCTCTCTTCAGTAGCAGCAGTCGAATCGTCAGCAGTCGTGCTTATTTCTGGATCAGGAGTAGTATCTTCCTCTGCTGTGGTGCTCTCTTCAGTTGCAGCAGTCGAATCCTCAGCCGTGGTGCTTATTTCTGGATCAGGAGTAGTATCTTCCTCTGCTGTGGTGCTCTCTTCAGTAGCAGCAGTCGAATCCTCAGCAGTCGTGCTTATTTCTGGATCAGGAGTAGTATCTTCCTCCGTTGTGGTGCTCTCTTCAGTTGCAGCAGTCGAATCCTCAGCAGTCGTGCTTATTTCGGGATCAGGAGTAGTATCTTCCTCTGCTGTGGTGCTCTCTTCAGTTGCAGCAGTCGAATCGTCAGCAGTCGTGCTTATTTCGGGATCAGGTGTAGTATCGTCCTCTGCTGTGGTGCTCTCTTCAGTAACAGCAGTCGAATCCTCAGCAGGGGTGCTTATTTCTGGATCAGGAGTAGTATCTTCCTCTGCTGTGGTGCTCTCTTCAGTTGCAGCAGTCGAATCCTCAGCCGTGGTGCTTATTTCTGGATCAGGAGTAGTATCTTCCTCCGTTGTGGTGCTCTCTTCAGTAGCAGCAGTCGAATCCTCAGCAGTCGTGCTTATTTCTGGATCAGGAGTAGTATCTTCCTCTGCTGTTGTGCTCTCTTCAGTAGCAGCAGTCGAATCCTCAGCAGTCGTGCTTATTTCTGGATCAGGAGTAGTATCTTCCTCTGCTGTGGTGCTCTCTTCAGTTGCAGCAGTCGAATCCTCAGCAGTCGTGCTTATTTCTGAATCAGGAGTAGTATCTTCCTCCGTTGTGGTGCTCTCTTCAGTAGCAGCAGTCGAATCCTCAGCAGTCGTGCTTATTTCTGAATCAGGAGTAGTATCTTCCTCTGCTGTGGTGCTCTCTTCAGTTGCAGCAGTCGAATCCTCAGCCGTGGTGCTTATTTCTGGATCAGGAGTAGTATCTTCCTCTGCTGTGGTGCTCTCTTCAGTAACAGCAGTCGAATCCTCAGCAGGGGTGCTTATTTCTGGATCAGGAGTAGTATCTTCCTCTGCTGTTGTGCTCTCTTCAGTAGCAGCAGTCGAATCCTCAGCAGTCGTGCTTATTTCTGGATCAGGAGTAGTATCTTCCTCCGTTGTGGTGCTCTCTTCAGTAGCAGCAGTCGAATCCTCAGCAGTCGTGCTTATTTCTGAATCAGGAGTAGTATCTTCCTCTGCTGTTGTGCTCTCTTCAGTAGCAGCAGTCGAATCCTCAGCAGTCGTGCTTATTTCTGGATCAGGAGTAGTATCTTCCTCTGCTGTGGTGCTCTCTTCAGTTGCAGCAGTCGAATCCTCAGCAGTCGTGCTTATTTCTGAATCAGGAGTAGTATCTTCCTCCGTTGTGGTGCTCTCTTCAGTAGCAGCAGTCGAATCCTCAGCAGTCGTGCTTATTTCTGGATCAGGAGTAGTATCGTCTTCTGCTGTGGTGCTCTCTTCAGTTGCAGCAGTCGAATCCTCAGCAGGGGTGCTTATTTCGGGATCAGGAGTAGTATCTTCCTCTGCTGTGGTGCTCTCTTCAGTAGCAGCAGTCGAATCGTCAGCAGTCGTGCTTATTTCTGGATCAGGAGTAGTATCGTCCTCTGCTGTGGTGCTCTCTTCAGTTGCAGCAGTCGAATCCTCAGCAGGGGTGCTTATTTCTGGATCAGGAGTAGTATCTTCCTCTGCTGTGGTGCTCTCTTCAGTAGCAGCAGTCGAATCCTCAGCAGTCGTGCTTATTTCGGGATCAGGAGTAGTATCTTCCTCTGCTGTGGTGCTCTCTTCAGTTGCAGCAGTCGAATCGTCAGCAGTCGTGCTTATTTCTGGATCAGGAGTAGTATCGTCCTCTGCTGTGGTGCTCTCTTCAGTAGCAGCAGTCGAATCCTCAGCAGGGGTGCTTATTTCTGGATCAGGAGTAGTATCTTCCTCTGCTGTGGTGCTCTCTTCAGTAGCAGCAGTCGAATCGTCAGCAGTCGTGCTTATTTCTGGATCAGGAGTAGTATCTTCCTCTGCTGTGGTGCTCTCTTCAGTTGCAGCAGTCGAATCCTCAGCAGTGGTGCTTATTTCTGGATCAGGAGTAGTATCTTCCTCTGCTGTGGTGCTCTCTTCAGTAGCAGCAGTCGAATCGTCAGCAGTCGTGCTTATTTCTGGATCAGGAGTAGTATCTTCCTCTGCTGTGGTGCTCTCTTCAGTTGCAGCAGTCGAATCCTCAGCCGTGGTGCTTATTTCTGGATCAGGAGTAGTATCTTCCTCTGCTGTGGTGCTCTCTTCAGTTGCAGCAGTCGAATCCTCAGCAGGGGTGCTTATTTCTGGATCAGGAGTAGTATCTTCCTCTGCTGTGGTGCTCTCTTCAGTTGCAGCAGTCGAATCGTCAGCAGTCGTGCTTATTTCGGGATCAGGTGTAGTATCGTCCTCTGCTGTGGTGCTCTCTTCAGTAGCAGCAGTCGAATCCTCAGCAGTCGTGCTTATTTCTGGATCAGGAGTAGTATCTTCCTCTGCTGTGGTGCTCTCTTCAGTTGCAGCAGTCGAATCGTCAGCAGTCGTGCTTATTTCTGGATCAGGTGTAGTATCGTCCTCTGCTGTGGTGCTCTCTTCAGTAGCAGCAGTCGAATCCTCAGCAGGGGTGCTTATTTCGGGATCAGGAGTAGTATCTTCCTCTGCTGTGGTGCTCTCTTCAGTTGCAGCAGTCGAATCGTCAGCAGTCGTGCTTATTTCGGGATCAGGTGTAGTATCGTCCTCTGCTGTGGTGCTCTCTTCAGTAGCAGCAGTCGAATCCTCAGCAGTCGTGCTTATTTCTGGATCAGGAGTAGTATCTTCCTCTGCTGTGGTGCTCTCTTCAGTTGCAGCAGTCGAATCGTCAGCAGTCGTGCTTATTTCTGGATCAGGTGTAGTATCGTCCTCTGCTGTGGTGCTCTCTTCAGTTGCAGCAGTCGAATCCTCAGCCGTGGTGCTTATTTCTGGATCAGGAGTAGTATCTTCCTCTGCTGTGGTGCTCTCTTCAGTAGCAGCAGTCGAATCGTCAGCAGTCGTGCTTATTTCGGGATCAGGTGTAGTATCGTCCTCTGCTGTGGTGCTCTCTTCAGTAGCAGCAGTCGAATCCTCAGCAGGGGTGCTTATTTCTGGATCAGGAGTAGTATCTTCCTCTGCTGTGGTGCTCTCTTCAGTTGCAGCAGTCGAATCCTCAGCCGTGGTGCTTATTTCTGGATCAGGAGTAGTATCTTCCTCTGCTGTGGTGCTCTCTTCAGTTGCAGCAGTCGAATCGTCAGCAGTCGTGCTTATTTCTGGATCAGGAGTAGTATCTTCCTCTGCTGTGGTGCTCTCTTCAGTAGCAGCAGTCGAATCGTCAGCAGTCGTGCTTATTTCTGGATCAGGAGTAGTATCTTCCTCCGTTGTGGTGCTCTCTTCAGTAGCAGCAGTCGAATCCTCAGCAGTCGTGCTTATTTCGGGATCAGGAGTAGTATCTTCCTCTGCTGTGGTGCTCTCTTCAGTTGCAGCAGTCGAATCCTCAGCAGGGGTGCTTATTTCTGGATCAGGAGTAGTATCTTCCTCTGCTGTGGTGCTCTCTTCAGTAACAGCAGTCGAATCCTCAGCCGTGGTGCTTATTTCTGGATCAGGAGTAGTATCTTCCTCCGTTGTGGTGCTCTCTTCAGTAGCAGCAGTCGAATCCTCAGCAGTCGTGCTTATTTCGGGATCAGGAGTAGTATCTTCCTCTGCTGTGGTGCTCTCTTCAGTAGCAGCAGTCGAATCCTCAGCAGTCGTGCTTATTTCGGGATCAGGAGTAGTATCTTCCTCTGCTGTGGTGCTCTCTTCAGTAGCAGCAGTCGAATCCTCAGCAGTCGTGCTTATTTCGGGATCAGGAGTAGTATCGTCCTCTGCTGTGGTGCTCTCTTCAGTAGCAGCAGTCGAATCCTCAGCAGTCGTGCTTATTTCGGGATCAGGAGTAGTATCTTCCTCTGCTGTGGTGCTCTCTTCAGTAGCAGCAGTCGAATCCTCAGCAGTCGTGCTTATTTCGGGATCAGGAGTAGTATCTTCCTCTGTTGTGGTGCTCTCTTCAGTATCAGCAGTCGAATCCTCAGCAGTCGTGCTTATTTCGGGATCAGGAGTAGTATCGTCCTCTGCTGTGGTGCTCTCTTCAGTAGCAGCAGTCGAATCCTCAGAAGTCGTGCTTATTTCGGGATCAGGAGTAGTATCTTCCTCTGCTGTGGTGCTCTCTTCAGTATCAGCAGTCGAATCCTCAGCAGTCGTGCTTATTTCGTGATCAGGAGTAGTATCTTCCTCTGCTGTGGTGCTCTCTTCAGTTTCAGCAGTCGAATCCGCAGCAGTCGTGCTTATTTCTGGATCAGGAGTAGTATCTTCCTCTGCTGTCGTGCTCTCTTCAGTAGCAGCAGTCGAATCCGCAGCAGTCGTGCTTATTTCTGGATCAGGAGTAGTATCTTCCTCTGCTGTGGTGCTCTCTTCAGTTTCAGCAGTCGAATCCGCAGCAGTCGTGCTTATTTCTGGATCAGGAGTAGTATCTTCCTCTGCTGTGGTGCTCTCTTCAGTAGCAGCAGTCGAATCCGCAGCAGTCGTGCTTATTTCTGGATCAGGAGTAGTATCTTCCTCTGGTGTGGTGCTCTCTTCAGTTTCAGCAGTCGAATCCGCAGCAGTCGTGCTTATTTCTGGATCAGGAGTAGTATCTTCCTCTGCTGTGGTGCTCTCTTCAGTAGCAGCAGTCGAATCCTCAGCAGTCGTGCTTATTTCTGGATCAGGAGTAGTATCTTCCTCTGCTGTGGTGCTCTCTTCAGTTTCAGCAGTCGAATCCGCAGCAGTCGTGCTTATTTCTGGATCAGGAGTAGTATCTTCCTCTGCTGTGGTGCTCTCTTCAGTAGCAGCAGTCGAATCCGCAGCAGTCGTGCTTATTTCTGGATCAGGAGTAGTATCTTCCTCTGCTGTGGTGCTCTCTTCAGTTTCAGCAGTCGAATCCGCAGCAGTCGTGCTTATTTCTGGATCAGGAGTAGTATCTTCCTCTGCTGTGGTGCTCTCTTCAGTTTCAGCAGTCGAATCCTCAGCAGTCGTGCTTATTTCTGGATCAGAAGTAGCATCGTCCTCTGCTCTGGTGTTTTCCTCAGGAGCAGAAGTTGGATCATCCGCTGTGGTGGTTTTCTCAGGTCTTAAAGTCGAATCCTCAGCTGTGGTGCTTATTTCAGATGGAGAAGTACTATTTTGGGCTGTTGTGCTCTCGTCAGGTGCCGATGTTAATGTTTTAGTAGTTCTTTTATGCACAAATTTATTGTCTCTGTCCGACTGTGATTCATATTGAATTTTATTTACTTGCACTTGGTCACTTTTTAAGTGGCTAAATTCTACGGAGGCACTCTCTGCTCTTTTGAGTACAATTTGGCCGAGTATTGCCAGTGATATTATAAATCTTAATAAATCTCGTGAAGAACCGCTCGAAGACATCTTTGTGCTTAGGGAAGTTGGAGAGCGTAACAAATTCGCCTATGAGCTGGAGACAGCAATCAGAGAAATGATATTCGGGCTTTGTGCATTGGCGTTTATAAGTAGCTCTGTAGGAAGCTCGTTGCACCTCTTATCAGATCTGTTTGTGTGAAACCCGTTATCTATAAGGGGAAACCTCTTGAGTTGTCGACTACAAAAATTTAATTGCTAAAATTTATTTTGTGTTATTGCATTTATTGGGAACGCATTTTCGTTAGTTGCATCATACGCGTTCATTGCTCCTGATAGTCTTCGGGGTACGCAAAACTGGAGTCGCATGTGTAGTCACAGCTCTGGAGTGGCTGGTTCCAGAAAAGCCCGATGGGACAGTTCTGCTTAACCCCGATATTGTAGACACACTGAATGTACTTGCTGCAGTCCGGCTCGTAGGGAAGGAACGGCAGGCCAGAAGAACAGTCCGAGGATGGCGACTGCGTGCCAGCGGGCCCGTCGATATTCTCACAGTATTGTGAGTCCCAGCCGCAAACGTTAAGCTCTGGATCCCAATAGAGGTCCGGTGGACAGAGTTTTAAGATTCCCTCCCCATACAGGCATTGATAGTACTGCTGACAATTAGGCGCTGCCCGAAATTCCTCTCCCTCCTCACATAGAACGGGAGCCGGCAGTGTAGTAGTGTCTATTTCTTGGGGCTCCGTTTCAGTGCTGGGATCCAGTGTTGTCGATTCGGATGCTGTGGAGTCGAGAGTGGTTGGCTCCTCCGCTGTGGACTCTGTCGCACCATCATCGAGAGGCAACGCAATCGCATGACCCGCAAGAAATGCAAGCAGTCCAAAGGTAACCACAATGTACAGGCCTGAAAGCATTAACCAAACTTAGGAATATGGTGTCGTACAGCAGCCAGAAGTTATGCTCCTACCTCTCATATTTGTGAATGTCGACTTTGCAGCAATGTTCCGATTACTCTTGAGTCAGTCGCCGGGCCGTTCTCTGCTTATATAGCCCCTTTTCAGTTCTTCCCATTGCGTGGTTCATGTCTAATCAATTTTGCACTTGTACAGGAAGCCAACGTAAAATAAATATTTTATTGCCTATCATTCTTATCGACCAATGCAATTTACGAGTAGATTTCCGATTTAGAAATATAAAAGCTTCAGTCAATCAGTGGAGACTCGACTACGGCATACCTACCTGCTTTTAAAAGGGTATCTCCGTACATCCGAAAGTCAATGAAAAAGTAATGGTGGAAAAGTAATGCTCACGAGTTACGTTCTATAAGTTTTAAGGATGTTGCACTCAGGTTCTGGAGCCCAGAATACTTCCTGAGTACCGGGTATGCATCTGCCCATAGTGTTGCATATATGTACGTACGTACATGCAATTGATTAGAACTAGAAGTGTTCTGGGAAAAAGAAACTTTATTTCTATTGAAAAAGTGGGTTGCAATGCAAAGCTTAAAAAGCCACTCACCATATTTGCTCACGACATCCGTTTGTGCTCTTCAAGAACCAATTAAAAGTTAAGTGAGTCATGCCAATCTGAATGGGTTTTTGAAATTAGTTAGTTGCCAGGCTTTTGTACTACCAAAGGCATCAAAGTCTGAGGGATTACGGTCTGAATATAATCGTTATCTCAGTCAATTAAAATCAATATCAACGAGGAATATATAAGGGTTAAGGTTCGGCCCAGAATAGTGAAGTTAGTGATTCAGAAATTAGCCCAAAAATATGCAATACAAAAAGAGAGATTATCAACTTCCTCACTTACAAAATTGATGTTAGATGTTATCTTATCTTAAATTAAAGAGGGTGCTTCCATTTCTTTTTTCAATCGAATAAAAAGTACTGGTAGAAATTATTTACTTGAAATTATTGTCGCATTACTGCCAAAGACAATTGATATGACCCCCTTTATTTAATTCTGACTACGACTATTTTCTAATTATTATCTAATCAGTGTAAAACTGTCATGAATTGGTGTGAAGAATTTTCCAACTATTGCAGCCGACCTTGGGAAGTCGATCTGACATCAATTGCACTTAAAATCGAATTTTGTTCGCATGAAATTTAACTGAGATGCTAACAAAATATTTTCTGTTTATTATCTGCCTTAAATTGCAATTGATTGTTTATCAAATCGAATTAATCACGAGTATAGGTAGTAACTCTCCCACTGCTATCATAAAATAATTATCCTGTGTCATGTCTCATGTACATCAAGATAAGAAGAACACATCGATGTCTTGTGTATGCTAATTAGATGCGGGTGATAAGTGCAGCTGCGGTATGCAGTATGTACTTGGAAATGGTATAAATAAATGGACGATGGCGAACAGATCATTAGTTTGAGTTAATAGTGAATCAAGTCGACTACTGAATGAAATGAAACGTAAGTAAAGCATGGAAAGTATATCCTGAGCAGTACTAAAAACAACAACCATTTCTTGTGTCAGTGGTCTTTATATTCTTGTCCGTGCAGCTCGTGCTGCTGGCGACTTCCCTCAACGCCAGAAGATGCTTCCAGCCCACCTCGACCAGCGCTGCACCAGGAAGTTCGACGAACCCAACAACCTCAACCACCCAGAATCCCACAGATGGACAGACGGAAACATCCCTTGGACCTATAAGTACTTCGACGCCAGGGCCCACCGACGATGAGCCAACTGACGCATCCTCTGACCCAATCGGAGAGACCACTGATGTTCCCTCTGACCCATCGGGAGGGACCACTGATGCTGCCTCTGACCCATCGGGAGGGACCACTGTTGCACCATCGGATCCAACAGGCCAACACACGGATTCATCGGGACAAACTACGAATGCACCCCCAGATCCATCTACTGATGCACCATCGGATCCAACTACTGCAACTACTGATACACCCCCGACAACAAAACCTCCTCCCGAAGTAGATTGCGATGCCGCTTGCCGCGCACATCCGGGAGCGGTGTACTTACCAAATCCCTACGATTGTCACCAGTTTATACAGTGCGATGGGAATCTGGGGTATAAACATACATGTCCGGACGGACTCTACTGGAATTCGGTTGCTGTGACCTGCGACACGGTTTGCCAATAAAGTATTATGAACAGCAGGTCTTAAGTCTCCATGCACTTTGTATGTGCTTTGCCATAAAGCCATAGCCTTGGGTCTAAGCGATCTTGAAACGAGAATGGTTGTTCCTGACATTCAGCCCCATGAATTCCATTCATAAGTTTCGCAGATTCCGAGCATCGGATGGGGAGTGGTCGTAGTTGACAGAGCATCGCTGCCTTCCAGGAACCCACGGAAGAGTTCACACCTCAATTAAACTGACACGATGGGCGCGTGTTCGACACGATCAACATAATTGAATGAGATAAGGGCTGCCAGCGAAGGCAAATGAAGATCGCTGGCAATATTGTGTATTGTATAAAAGGGGTTCCAAATTTTGGCAATTGTGCAGAGTTCCTCATTCATCATTAGTAAAGAATCACGAGTGGAATACTATCGAACAAAAATGAGAGGTAAGCAAGATCAGAGCGGGACTCTTGGGAGTGGAACACGGTTTCATTTATTTCTTTTTAGTTGCCCTGCTAGCTGTGGTGACACTCACTACAGTGGCGGTCCTTGTCGGAGCCGCCGATCCTGAATGCGTCTATCGCAAATTACGCGGCCTGTCGCCCCACTGGCCAAACCCCACGAGCTGCTCCACCTACTACCGCTGCTCGGCCAAGGGCGTTGCCCGGGCTGTGACCTGTCCGGCCGGTAAAGAATACAACCCCAAGAACGGCAAGTGCGCCACCGCCGGACGAGGACTCTGCAAACTGAGCCTTGTCGCTCCCCTGTCCTTGGTGAGTTTTCCTGCTGATTCTGCTGAGCCGCCTGCACGGATAACTAACGCCCCATCCCATAGGAAACCAACGTGTGCACCGACGAGGTGAACGGAGCATTCCTGCCAAAGAGCGGATACTGCGGCGAATACTACATCTGCGACGAGCAACAGGCCTACTCCCAGAAGTGCTCCGCCGGCAGCGCCTTCAACAACACGCTGGCAGTCTGCATTCCGGACCCTGAGAAGACGTGCTGGCAGAACCTTTGCGTGGGAGTGTCCGATGGCCTACTTCCGACCAACAGCGATTCCTGTGCGAACTACTACTCATGCTCCGCTGGCGTGGCCACGCTGGAGAAGTGCCCCCTGAACTCCTACTTCGATGACAGCCTGAAGGTCTGCACCCCCGACACAGACTCAGTTTGCTGGCAGAACTTCTGCGTTGGAAAGGCAGATGGCTCAGCCGTCGCTGACAAGAGCAACTGCTCCGTGTTTTACCTCTGTTCCGGCGAGAGTGCGACCACCCAGAACTGCCCGGTCGGCAGTATCTTTAACGCCGACGGCTGGAACTGTAAGCCCGGCACATGCGATGACACCACCACTGTGGAGCCTTGCGATGATGTGACAACCACAACGGAACCCTGCGATGATGTGACAACCACAACGGAACCCTGCGATGAGGTGACAACCACAACGGAACCCTGTGATGATGTGACAACCACAACGGAACCCTGCGATGAGGTGACGACTGCAACCGAACCCACCACCGACTGCGATTGTGCTGATAATGTGAAGAACGGACAACTCGTTGCCAACAAAGAGAACTGCCGACTGTATAGCATCTGCGTGGACGGCACCCTGGTCTCCGGCGATTGCGGCAAAGGAAACTTCTTCAACGACAGCCTCGTTGTGTGCCAGGTGGACTCTGGAAATGACTGTCCCGATAGCTCTGAGGCGGAGTGCAAGGTCGGTGATAAGCTGGTAGATGTACAGAACTGCGCCAAGTACTACCAGTGCAATAACGGAGTCTGGCAGTCAGCGAGCTGCGACAGTGGCAGCTACTTCGACACCCAATCTTCCGATTGCACGGCGGACGTGGACAACGTGTGTGTGGACTCTTCCACTGACGAATGCAACATGAGCGATCCGGCAGCGAGCGGCAAGAATTGCTACAGCTATCAGACGTGCATAGACGGCAAGTGGCAGGACGAGGAGTGCAGCAAAGATTACTACTTCGACGCGGTCATGGGCATCTGCAGACAGGACGAGGATGGTTCCTGTCCCGAAAACAAGATATACTTCGGCATCAAGCCTCCCGTCGGCAACACCAGCTTCATCGTCGGCCAGCGCGCCAGGCGCAGTGCAGATTCCAATGCCACCGAGGAGGCTCCCTGCTGTCCTGGAGGCCTTGCCCAAGGCGCCATTGTGTGTCATCCCACCGACTGTGGCAAGTATCTGATCTGCGACAATGGTGAGATGGTCGAGGGCAGTTGTGGCGTGGGAAATGTGGTGCAGAACGGTGTCTGCGTGCCCGACACAGGCGCCACGTGCTGGGTGTGTGCCAACAAACCCAACGGCTACCAGCTTCCCAATCCCGATGACTGCACCAGCTACGTAAGCTGCTACAACGGCCTCTCCGTCGAGCACTCTTGTGCCGCTGGCGAGTGGTACAATGGAGAGATTTGCGAGATCGATGTCACCGCGAAATGCATCAACCCCTGCAGCTGCGCCTCTGGAGCCGTGCCCCATCCCATCTGCACCAAGTACTACCTCTGCACCGACGGGGTGGCCCAGGTAGTGGACTGTGCGGTGGGCCAGGCATTTAACAATGACACGGGACTGTGCTCCAACGCGACAGAATGCAACGCCAAGCTGTGTGCCACGGCCCCCGACGATACCACCTACGCAGTGGATGGAGACACCAGCAGGTTCTACCTGTGCCTTAACAATGAGGCTACCATCGCATCCTGTCCGGCCAATACCGCCTATAACACGCTCTACGGGATATGCCAGGCCGTACCCAGTGTAAGTGAATGAATCCCAAGCCCACGTAAGTCCATCTGTAACCTGTAACCTGTATCCTGTATAACTCCAGGCGGACTGCAATCAGGCCACCTGTACAGGTGCTTCTGAGGATCAGACATACCCATCTCTGAATTGTGACAACTCAAGCTTCTGCATTTGCAATGGCGGTGGCGGCTACCTTCAGTCCTGCGGCGAAGGCTATTTCTACGACACCGAATATGGAATTTGCCAATTTGTAAGTACACATTTGTACACATTGAAAGTGACTTTAGCGGAGTAACATTGCATCCCGCTTTAAACACAGACGGGACAGTGCGACCCCGCGGTCTGTGTCGGCAATGCGGAGTACTGGGTTTCGCCCGATTACCAGGACCCGAACAGCTTCTGTCTGTGCCGCGTTCAGCAACCCGTGTCGGTGCCCTGCCCCATTGGCTACACATTCAGCATCGAGGATCTTGCGTGTGTCCTCATCCCACAGCCTGACGTAAGCCATTTGGACGAGTCCTCTAACTGCTTTTGGCATAGCTCTCACATCCACCCTACCCCCTTTGCCCTCTGCCATAACAGCCCAGATGCGATGCCAATGGCTGCTCGTGCAAGACGGACTTTGATACTTTTCCGGCTCTGAACACCAATGCTGGATTCTGTGTGTGCGTGGACGACTTGCCGACGTACGAGAGCTGCCTTGGCAACACAGTGTACTCCCTGGAATTTAAAGCGTGCTTGCCCCCTAATGTAAGTACACTGGCACTCAGCTGATCAGCCCATCTGCTCACCCAAAGGTGTGTCCTCAGATAACCTGCACAGCTAACGTATGTAATGCGACGGAGTGCGACAATCAGCCAGAGTACTCAACATTCCCCGCCCCGGATGCATCTGGGTTCTGCTACTGCAAGGACTCCTGTCCCATCTTCGATTCCTGCTTGGACGACCAGGTCTATGACGAGTCCCTGGGTGCGTGCGCAGAGCCAAAGGTAATAGTGATCGAACTATACCAATGTATGGGGCTGTAATTGAGACGTGTGTCCCATCTCTCCTCCGCAGGTTGACGCCAGCTGCAAGTGCGATGCATCCAAGTGCACGGCGACTATGCCCGACTATGTGCCATTCCCTCCGACCGCGGACAACGATGTTGCCGGTTTTTGCTATTGCGAGGATGGAACAGTGTTCTACGACACGTGCAGCCCGGGAATGGTTTTCAATGCGACAGCAGAGAGGTGCGTCATACCCTCGGTAAGTCACACGTAAAACGAATCCAAGGCAACACAAAACCTGACGACAATCGACTCTACACAGGCACCCTGTTCCGTGTGCGAGGCTAACAAGTGCGCCACTCTGGACGACTTATCCACCTTTGAGGCCCTGAACACAACCGCAGGCTTCTGCATCTGCATGTCCGGAAGTCAGGTGTTTCAGTCATGCGAAACGGGCGTCCAGTACAACACCACTTTCGGTGCCTGTCTGAGTCCAAAGACCAAAATTGTGGCCAGTGCGGCCTGTGACGGGACGCAATGCGCCAAGCGGACGATGTTCTCGAGATTTTCGGCCAGCAACACGACCAATGGATTCTGCACTTGCGATGATATCGGCGCCACCAGCTTCCACAGCTGCGAAAACGGACAGCACTATGACGAGGCTCTGGCCGCCTGCTCGCTGGAGGCGTGCGACTCCAGCCAGTGCAGGCGTCGCGCCCAGTTTGAGCCGTTCGAGGCGAGGAACACCAGTGCGGGATTCTGCAGCTGCGACGGAGTCGCCATCTACCACCACTGCGATGAGGGACACGTCTTCGACGCTGCCCAGGGCCTGTGCACACTGAGAGGTGTCATCGGCAACATTGCGTGCAATTTGCTAGAGTGCCAGAGGCGGGGGCGCTATGAGCCCTTCGCTGCCCAGAACACAAAATCCGGATTCTGCTCGTGCGACGGCTCGGACGGTGTCAGTGTCACCTTCCATGCCTGCACGGAGGGCCAGGTGTTCGACACCAAGCTGGGACTGTGCGCGGATCATGTCATTGAGAAGCGCTCGCTGGAGGCGCAGGAAAATGTAAGGTCACTATCATTCCTTAAGAGATTCTTCCAGAAACTTGCATAAGCCCTGCCCCACGCATACCCTACCCAACACCCAACACCCACCCCATCCTACGAATCGAGTATATAATCCCCATGTTATTTATGAGTTATGTTTAATGTGAAAGTTCCGCTTGTTCCACTTCTATACTTCTACAATACACACACATATGAGCTACAATAAATTCAAACTAGATGAATTACACTTTCGGCCTTTTATTTACTTGCACTTGCTATAGAATGGAACATGAGGATCTTCCTAGCTCGGGCAGGTAATCAGGGCAATCTTCCTCGCATCATAACTGCATCAAAATCCCAAGTGTAAGAAAGAATAGATCACAAGGCTAGTAGATTCCCAAGCACACAGCTCACTCACCTTTCCTATTCTCTGTTGATTTTAGCTTGCCTGCGGCGTGAATGAAATGCGCTCAGTGCCAGCCAACTGCTCCCAGTACGAGATCTGCGTGGAGGGGCACTGGCGACGACGCACCTGCTCCGATCAGCGCTACTACAACCCGGAGCAGCAGCGCTGCCTCGAGCCCAGGGACGACATGGTCTGCGCCTATGCGCGGGTCACCTATCTGCCAGCCTGCACCAATCACAGCGAGGCCCACACGATGGCCACCATAAATGGCAGTTGCCTGCAGTACTTCCGCTGCGCCGGCAGCAAGTGGCGCCTCCGTAACTGCCCCAAGCAGCACTACTATTCTCCGCTGATGGGTGCCTGCCTGCCGCTGCCAGTTGCCGCCAGGGAAAACGATCGCAACATCTGCAATGCGACAATCAGCCTGAGTCCGCCCGAGGACTGCCTCCACCTGGCCGTGCGTCCGTCCGCGGCGAGCTGTGACAGCTTCCTCATGTGCCTGGACAACCTATGGTGGCGCCACCAGTGTCCACTGGGCATGTACTTCAGCCGCGACCGCAACTACTGTCTGCCCAACGACGCCGACCAGTGTCCGCAGAATGTCACGACTTCCTGTGCTGGTGGCCAAAAACGCGGCCTGATCGGCAGCTGTAGCGTCTATGAGCAGTGCTCCGACGGCCAGTGGGTGCGGATGCAGTGCCTCCAGGGTCAACAGTTCGAGCCGCTGCTCGGCTGCGTGCCCAGCGATGGCAGGTGCCAGGCTAACGGCATGCGCCGTATCTGCCATAATGGCGAGCTGCGGCCTCTGCCACTGATCTCGGCGGACAGGGGCCACTGTTCGCCATTCTTCCACTACTGCGAAGGAGAGGAGTGGCTCCTGGGCAGCTGCCTGCGGGGCCAGCAATTCGACCCGCAACTGAACAGGTGTCAGGCCCAGGCCGAGTGCCGGCAGCAGGCGCAAACTCTGACCATGTCGGCTGCGGAGAACAGTTGTGTGGGCCAATCGGATGGCCTGAGCGTGCCTGATGGTGAGGATTGCACACGGTTCTACCTCTGCCTGCAGCAACAGCCCGCTGTGCTGCAGAGCTGCGCCTCCGGAAGCTTCTTCGACGCCGCCCTGGGGTACTGCAGACCCAACGATGGCACTTGCCAGCTGGCCGCCTGCTCAGGCGTAGAGGATGGCAGACTGGTGGCTCATCCCGAGGATTGCCGTGCCTACTACAGCTGCTCCCGCGAGAACGGCACGCAGCTCCACCAGTGCGAACAGGGACTGTACTTCCACAGCCTGCTCTCGCTGTGCCGCGTCGACCACGGCCAGTGCCAGACGCAGTCGGACCCTGGGGAGGAGGCAGTCAGCGGAAGGGTATGTGCGGGGCTGCACGGAGTGCGCCTGCCCCACGAGCTCTACTGCAACCTGTACTACGCGTGCGTGCGTGGCCTGGCGGTTCCAGTGGAGTGTCCCGCCCGGCAGCAGTTCAATCCCGTGCTGGCGGCGTGTGAGCCGGAATCGCAGGCGCTGGAGCCGTGCCAGAACGGACAGCTGGACGGAAACAGCAGCGTCGTCTACAGCTGCGGCACCCTTCAGGACGGAAGTTACCTGGCCAATCGCAGCGACTGCACGAGGTACTTCATCTGTGCGGGGGGCATTGCCGTGGCACAGCGGTGTGCTACGGGTAGCTTCTTCGATCCGCAGCAGCTGCTGTGCGTGCAGGACGACGGCTCCTGCCCGTTCGTGGAGCAGGTGGACGATGACGAGGAGACAAACAATCAGCACGTGCCGCCCGATCCGCTGGTCTGCGAGGGCAAGCACGGCTACATTCTACCGGATCCGACGAACTGCAACAACTTCTACATCTGCGTGTCCGGAAAGCTGCGTCACGAGTGCTGCTACTCCGGCGGCTTCTTCAACGCCACGCTCCAGCAGTGCCAAGTCCTGGAGCTGCCCAGCGACGTGGACTCGCAGACGGAGCTGCCCGGAAATTTCTCAGTGCAGGCGGGGGGCAGGCAGGAAAAGCAATGCAGCGACGCACCCACCACCTCCGACAGCCTGTGCAGCGTCATCGGCAATGGCACCTCCGTGGCCGAGCAGGGCGACTGCCGGCGCTACACCAGCTGCGAGGATGATGTGCCCGTGTCCCAGCGCTGTCGCAACGGGGAGAGTTTCGACAGCCTCCTGAGAATCTGTCGCCAGAGCGACGGCACCTGCCTCATGGAGAACGGCGAGCGAGTGGGCGTCTGCAACGGAAAACACGGCCAGTTGGCGCGCGATGCCAACAACTGTCGCGGCTTCTTCGTGTGCCTGCATGGCCAGACGATCGAGGGCGACTGCGGCCAGGGGCTCTACTTCAACAAGGCGACGAGCAGCTGCGAACAGGATGTCCTGCAGCAGTGCAAAACCGACGGAGACGACTCGATAATTGTGGCCGATCCGAACTAGGTACACAGATCGTGCATAGATAACTTCGAGTGTATTTTACTCATATTTAGGTGGTGGTTTAAAAATAGACTTTTACAATATCCAAAACGGAACACTGTCTCATTCATAGATATCCCCTTCAGCCAGCACTCCTGAGTACCACTGAGAAACGAGGCCTTCAAATATGTTTCCATTCAATCAAAAGCTGCAATTGAACGCGCACGAGTGTGATGGATACACCTGCCTGCGAGTGGATGTAGATGGCCGCATATCAATATTAATAGGTGCCATTTGCATACGAGTACTCCTATCTATAGGTGGTGCCACTCAAGGCACGCACCCAACACTCGAAATGGCGCTATTAATGACGTACGTACATCGTACATTGAAAATCAAAATAGATTCCTCGCACGAGAATAATAGAACTGGCTGCATAAGGGACCCCTGCTGCGAGGCTATTTTTGTGGTCACGAATTGAATACCCAGCCAGGGGAACAATCGCAATTTGAGGCATATATTCCAAGACCTCTTGCCTCATATGACTTATTCCATCACAAACAGATGGACGAGTCTTGCGAGTATCCTTAGCCCCGCCCCAAGGCAACTGACGTCATTCACAGAAAGTAGTCCAAAGATACTGGAGGGGAAGCGTTACTAGACCTGATTTAAAATTAGAAACTTATCACGAATAACCAACACGAGGCCCCATATTAATAGGATATTCGTGTGGGCGAAGGTCCCAGTCCCTCCCAGCGCTCGTTTTACTGTTCAACGAGAGAGCCCCCATATTGAAACAGAAACAGAAACAGAAACAGCAAGAAGTATGTACAACCGTGATTATCTATCCAGGCATGCCGATATCCTGTGCAGGTCGTCAACGACCATTGACACCAGGGACAGAGACAGTTGGATTGCTGTGGTCATTCGTGCGCGAGTGCTGGAGCCGGACACATCGGAACAGTCGGAACACTCCAACCAGACCAGACCAGACCAGACCATACCCATATGCAGGGCGGAAAGTGTTAAGTCAAGTGCGGGGGACTAATACGGATGGGACATGCGAGCGCAGTGCGCCTGGATAATATGAAAATTGATTTTGAGGATAGTGCTTACGGACATACAAAATCAATAGTGCCCCACTGCTGCAAGCGCAGCGCAATAGATCATTGGAATATTCGCAGATTGTGGAACTAAGAGCTGCATCCGAGTGCATGACTGCAAATCAATAATCGATTGTTACTTCGAGTGCTACACACATTTGGCTGGGAACAAGCTGGACAGGAGCGATCAATAATCCTTCAATTGTTGTGATTACTTCAATGGCATGGGACTATGCACAACTGCCAACCAGCGCTGACATTTCGAGACCGTCGCACGCCTATTAGTAGTCCAGGTACGAGTACGGATTCATTTGTCTCTCCCTGGGCCCAAGATATGTTTTGGGGCAAGTTCTCGTACAACTCGTACAACTCGTACAACTCGTAAAACTTGTAGAACACCCCCAATGTCTCATATACATATATGTATGTACATATATCCAGTAATAATCTGGGGCAATTATCTAGAGCACTTGTCATTCGAACGCACGGGCAGGGGGTGCGGGGTCCGCCAGCAACAAGTTTGTTTGCCTAACCTTTGCGAGTCAAGTGGAGCTGCTCCCACAGTGCATTGACTAATGTCCGGTCACTCTGTACAGGTCCGTAAACTCTCATCAAGCTGGACAAATACAAATACAAATAGAAAGAATCCAGACCAGAAACGAACCGAGCCGAACCGAACCGAGCGGGAGGGAAGAATTCGTGGGTCAATGTCGACAATGTCGTGTGCGTGAGTAGGAGTACGCCTCTGATTGGGTCGTTGCTGGCAAATGAAGATACAAATACGAATATGAATAGCCACTCGAGGGCCGTAGTACAAATATCCATGAATTTTTAACACCGCAGCAGGACACAGGCTTATGCATTGTCCCCCTCCCCCACCCCCATCACATTCCAACTTTTGAATACTTCTTCTCCGTTCGGTTTCGAGAGTCAGCAAACCGAAGCAAACCTTAAATATTTTATCATGGGTACTGGAGCAGCTGTGCTCCAAATTAGATACTGGCACATCCTGCTGGCTCTTCAACTGTACAATTGTGCTCCACAGAATTCCATGACCCCATCCCCATTGGCCAGCGGACAGGACGAGCGAAAACCGATAGCCAAGCGTAGCGTACCACAATGAGCAGTCCCGGAGAGCGCTCTGGCGACAAGTCCCACATATTTCAGATACGCATCGACAGCGTGGATGAGGAGAGCACCGCTCCGATAACGGCTGCCAGCTCACGAGAGGATCTCATCCGCAGCACAGCCCAGGAGTGCGACCAGCCCAGCGAGCAGTTGATATTTCAGTTCCCCCGTGAGTGCATCCCCCCCTCCATTGATCAGAGTCCACACAGGCGATGGATGTAATCGATTCCCCCACACAGGATTCCTTTCGGTGCCAACGCTGCGCAGTCCACGTCCTGAGACGACCTCACAGCGTGATGTGATGTCCAGTCCGGCCAAGAGCGAGCGCATGATCCGCCACAGCCAGACCAAGCTGCGACCGCGACGCCTCAGCCAGGACAGCGGCATTGTGGCAGGCCGACTGATCGGCTATGGGGTGAGTGCACCGCTAGATGTCTGTGGCATGTCCAGTCCATCCATTACAGCTGCCGTCTCCCACAGGAGCCCGATCCACACCTGGGCATAATGGAATCAGGGCGAGATAGAGCCGACGGCATCTACAACTACCTGACGAACCCGAACCAGCCGGAGAGCACTCCCGCCGTGGTGGCCAAGCCTGCCACTCCGATCCTGCCGAGGTCCAAGCGCACGGAGGCGAGCGCCTGTCGGGCCAATTCGGCGGCCTACACGGAAAAGTGGCTTAACGCCTCTGTGGTGCGAGCCAGCAACGGCTCCTTGTACCAAAAATCAAACTCAATTGCCATGCCGCTGCCCACCCACCTGGAGGGGGACTCGGCAGAGCCCAGTCCCACGCAGGCCTTTGGCCCGAAGATTGTCGGTAGTCATGACGAGGATATTCCGGGCACAGCCATGCGCCGCACGCTGGCACTTAATCTGAGCTCCACCCTGGGCGGTAACAGGTCGAGCTCGGAGGACCGGGTGAATCAGTCGTACGAGGTCATGGAGTCCTCGCACTCCAACGTGTTGGCCGACCAGTTTGGCTACCGGCAGCTAATGCCCACTGAGCGCAAGGCCTCCGACACTACGAGCAGCATCAGCGGCAGCTACTACGGCAGCCGGAAGGCGAGCAAGAGCAACAGCATTACGGGTGACTCGGGCGACGAGCGGCGACGCATCAGCAAGCAGGACCGGGAGGGGCTCGATCCCGAGTCACTCATGTTTCGCGACGGGCGGCGGAAGGTGGACATGGTGCTGGCCTGGGAGGAAGAGGATCTGGGTGTCATGACGGAGGCGGAGGCCCGTCGGCGCGACCTCAGGCGCAGCTTCATGGAGAACCTGGTCAAGGAGGGCCTCGAAGTGGAGCTGGAGGACAAGTCGCAGTCGTTCAACGAGAAAACCTTTTTCCTTAAAATCCATCTGCCTTGGCGCCTGGAAACCAGACTCGCCGAGGTCATGAACCTAAAGCTGCCCATCAAACGCTTCATTACCATATCCGTGAAGCCATCCTGGGTACGTATTCGCCGCAGGCGTATGCTGCATGCAGCGCTGCAATTCTGATGCTCCTTTGTTGCAGGATGAGGAGAATGTGGTCCTGCGGAATGTGCAGTACTGGAGGGAGGTATGGCAGCGCCTGACCAAAAAGATTCAGCTCGATCAGAGCTTGCTGGAGGGAGAGACAACCTTCAAAAGAGCCACAGCAAATGGAAACCCCGAAGAGCAGTAAGTTGTGTTATTTTTGGGTATTTTCTAGAGCAAGTTCCGTACAATAGATCCGTATGTATGTAGATTCATCGTCAAGGATCGGGCCACGGCCTTCACCAGTGCCCAGCGCTCCCTGATGGTCATGCAGGTGCTGATACGCACGCCCTACGACGAAACCGATCGGAGTGGGATACGGCGGCTGATGAACGATGGCACCTATCTGGGCTGCTTCCCGCTGCACGAAGGGCGCTACGATCGGCCGCACTCCAGCGGCATCTCCCTGGACAGGCGGGTGCTCTACCAGACCTGGGCACATCCCTCGCAGTGGTACAAGAAGCAGCCGCTGTGCCTGGTGCGCAAGTACTTTGGGGACAAGATAGCGCTGTACTTCTGCTGGCTCGGCTTCTACACCGAGATGCTGGTGTATCCCTCCGTGGTGGGCACTCTCTGTTTCATCTACGGCTTGGCCACCCTGGAGTCGGAGGACAACACGCCCAGCAAGGAGATATGCAACGATTTGGGACCCGGCAACATCACCCTCTGCCCGCTCTGTGACAAGGCGTGCAGCTACCAGAGTCTGTCAGACTCCTGCCTCTTCTCACGTCTCACTTACCTGTTTGACAATCCCTCCACTGTGTTCTTTGCCATATTCATGTCATTCTGGGGTAAGTGCCGCCTCCACAATGTCCCAATTGTGTGGATCAGGGAATGAGTCATGTCTTGCCAACAGCCACCACCTTTCTGGAGCTATGGAAACGCAAGCAGTCGGTCCTTGTGTGGGAGTGGGATCTGCACAACGTGGACATGGATGAGGAGAACCGACCCGAATTCGAGACCAATGCGACCACATTCCGCATGAATCCCGTCACACGCGAAAAGGAGCCCTACATGTCCACCTGGAACCGGGCCATTCGATTCGTTGTCACCGGCAGTGCTGTGCTCTTTATGGTGAGTGCTCAGATTACAATTATAATTCAACGATTCCGCATTCACTCCTGTTATATAGATCTCCGTGGTCCTGTCAGCTGTCTTAGGCACCATCCTGTACCGCATTACGCTGGTGTCTGTCATCTATGGCGGCGGTGGATTCTTCGTGAAGGAGCATGCCAAACTTTTCACCAGTGTCACGGCCGCATTGATCAATCTGGTGGTCATAATGATACTCACACGAGTGAGTCTTGATACTAAAGTCCAAGTAGAGTTCGGCATTGATCCACGGTTACATTTTTCATGCACAGATCTACCATCGAATGGCAATCAAGCTAACGAATTTGGAGAATCTGCGCACCCACACCGAGTACGAGGACTCCTATACGTTCAAGATCTTCTTCTTTGAGTTCATGAACTTCTACTCGTCGCTCATCTACATTGCCTTCTTCAAGGGCCGCTTCTTCGACTATCCTGGGGACGATCAGGCGCGTCGGAGTCAGTTTTTCCGCCTGAAAAACGATATTTGTGATCCGGCGGGATGCCTGTCGGAGCTCTGCATACAACTGGCCATCATCATGGTGGGCAAGCAATGCTGGAACAACTTTATGGAGTATCTGTTCCCCAAGTTCTGGAACTGGTGGCGTCAGCGGAAGCACAAACAGGTAATCAATCGGCTCGGCGGGGGTGGATCATTCCATTTCCATTTGCATTGCTCTTTTTATTTCACTTTCCAGGCGACTAAGGACGAGTCGCATCTGCACATGGCCTGGGAGCAGGACTATCATATGCAGGATCCGGGTCGCCTGGCCCTCTTCGACGAGTACCTGGAGATGAGTGAGTAGCGTCCTAGAAGGTGCTAGCCATATGTCTAATCTCTTGAAAATTAGTTCTGCAATATGGCTTCGTCACTTTGTTTGTGGCGGCCTTTCCTCTGGCCCCGCTCTTTGCGCTCCTCAACAACGTGGCCGAGATCCGGCTGGACGCATACAAGATGGTGACGCAGGCCAGGCGACCACTGGCCGAGCGTGTCGAGGATATCGGCGCCTGGTACGGCATCCTGCGCATCATCACCTACACGGCCGTCGTTTCGAACGCCTTCGTGATTGCCTACACCAGCGACTTTATACCGCGAATGGTCTACAAATTTGTCTATTCGGAGACCCACACCCTGGCCGGCTACATCGAGCACTCGCTCTCCATATTCAACACCTCCGACTACAAGGAGGAGTGGGGCGCCACGGTCAGTGAGCGCGATCCAGACACCTGTCAATATCGGGGCTATCGGTAGGTTATCTATCAACATCATCCTCCCGTATCTCCCCCACTGCTGCTCTCAACCATTTATAATCCGCTTGCAGGAACGGCCCCAAGGACTACGAACCGTATGGCCTGAGCCCCCACTACTGGCACGTGTTTGCCGCTCGTCTAGCCTTCGTTGTGGTTTTTGAGGTCAGTAGTTGGAGTCCTGCCAATGCAAGGACTGTAGCCTAATTCTCCTTTTCCCGCAAAACAGCATGTTGTGTTTGTAATCACTGGCATCATGCAGTTCATCATACCCGATGTGCCGTCCGAGGTGAAGACGCAGATGCAGCGCGAACAGCTGCTGGCCAAGGAGGCCAAGTACCAGCACGGCATCAAGCGCGCGCAGGGCGACAGCCAGGACATCATGAGCCTGTTCCGCGATGCCAGCAACCGGACGTCGGTGGCGGCCGGCAGCCAGGGATCCAATCGCGGCAGCTGGGCACGCCGCTTCAGTCGGCTCAGCGACGGACTCGATGCCCATGTGGAGGTGGCCGCACGGCCTCGACGGTCGGTAGAGTCCACCGTCTGGGAGGTATCCTGACACGAGGAGGAGGCCGAGAGCGAGGCCAACGTGTCGAGCAAGAGATGAGACCGTAACCGGCAGACCACGAGCAGTGCCGAGTAAACATCCAAGAAACATAATCACCTCCATCATGTCAATGGAACTCCTTTTCCCCCCATTCGCAAATTATTATTAAATGTCGACTGTCCGTCCACTGGTTATGTTTGTAGCTTTACCGATCTCATGCTACTTGTAAATAAATCCTTTTGAATGTTGTAAGTCGATTGATGTCGAATCTAAAAGGGTTCTGCCAGTTAGACAACGATTATAAGCAGGAATGGGCTAGCCACCCCGCTGACCCAGCCGTTTCCAACACAACACGTTTCCAGCCGGGGTTTGTTTGCTCGAAATCAATCGGAAAAGTAATAGACAGCAACACAGTTCTGATACGTTCAAGTGAACACAATTTTTTGTATGGCGAAAATTATTTAATGATGAACAAGAAACTCTCGCCGGAAGATGCATTCTACGAAAACTTGACGCTGGGCCTCATAAAGACGCTCTGTGAGTATTCACCGATTGAATGCCCATCACATCCAGCCAGCGCTCCTCTAACGTCCTTAAACCCTCATGCACGGCCAGCGACCGTGCCGCGGGTCTGCAATGTGAGCCTGGAGCGACGACAGCCACTGACCGCCTGCCAGGTGGTGAACTGGGAGCAGAGGCACTGCGTCTACCTGCCGGAAGACATGAAGAAGTTCTACCTGTCCACCGACGGATTCGTGCTTAACTGGAGCTATCAGTACGCGCGTAAGTAGCGCATCCCAGCATCCCATGCTCCTACACATCTCCCCGTTTCCACCACACGACAGCCAATGACATTCGCCGCGTGGGACACATCTATTTCCCGCACCTGCTGCAGGTGACCCTTCTGCGGGAGAACATCGAGACGACGCACTCAAGCAGTGGCGTTGCTCATCCGCCGGCTCAGGACCTCTCGGCAACTGGCTCCAGTTCGGCGGCCAATCTTCTGCCCCTGGCAATGCCGAATGCTTCCAGTGGCACGGGCAAAGACAAGTGGGGAAACGCGACGCCAACCATAACGGCCAAGTCCAAGATATTCGAGATCAACAACATCAACGAGATGGCGAAGGTGATGGGGAGCTCTTTTGGGTGCTGAGATTCCATATGCTGACATGGTTTCCGTTTCGTCCAGGTGTGCATGTTGTACGAGTCGACGAGCTCGAACAATCCCAAGTTCTATTTGCTGGAGCTGAACACCCTGAGCTGGCAGTTTCTGGCAGAGACCTTCAGCGAGTACCTGCGGATGTCCATCGCCCACCTGGGACTGCCCTACTGGGAGCTGTGCTTCTCCAGCTTCGGCCTGCCCTCGTGGACCGAGCAGCTTTTCCTCCTGCTAGCCCCCCACCTGCTCGAGGAGCACGAGGTGAGGCGCGGCCGCATCCTCAATCCGGCCTGCGAGCACCCGTACAACATCATCGATCCGAACATATTCCGGGGCAAGCCCAAGAGCGTGGCCAAGACGGCGGCGGCCAGCAATGCCAAGCAGAGTAATAAGTGAATCCGGATTCGTGTAGAAAAGTAAAGGTTTATTGGCGAAGAAAAAGCACAAGACGGCAACGAAACATAAATGCTACAACAGAAATCTCCAGACGACGGCCCCACAGATCATCTCTGAAGTTAGTTTGAGTGGATGAGGATGGGGATGGGGTACTTAGGGGCGTCAGTAAAAGTCCGAGCTCTTGTCCTCCAATTCAGCCAGCAACTTGTCCCTAATCTGGGGCCTGGGATCCTCGGTTATCTCGGTGGAGACGGCGCCCACCTGGCCGAGCATGAACTCTAGCTCATCAACCGTCAGCTTCTCTCCGCGCAGCTCCAGGGGGCCAATGAACTGCTTGCGCATGGCGCCCTCGTGGTAGATGAATATCGTGGGCAGGTTCTTCTCGGGGAAGTTGGGTATGCATGTGGTGGCAACGGAGCGCAAGAACTTTGTCTGCGGGAACCGCACCGCCAGCTGCTGCATATGGTGGTGGAGGAGGGCGCAGAGCGGAACGCCGTTGGCGTACAGGTGCAGCACAACCCAGATACCCTCGCCGGCCTTGGTGACCTCGCTGACATAGTCCTGTCCCGAGATTTCGCGCACGCTGCCAAACCTGGCCTTCTCGGCGGTGGCGCGCATCTCCGCAATGCGCTTCTGTCGGTACTGCTCCAGCACAGCCTCGTCCTCCGAGTCTTCCAGCTCATCCAGCTCGTCCAGCGACATGTCGTCGATCTTCTTGTCGCGCTGGCCCTCGCTCTGTGGCAGGTCTGTGCGACGCTGTATCGCATCGTCCATCAGGGCTTGGATCTGGTCCTCTGTGATTTCGGCCTCCTTCTGCTTGGGCCCGATGATTCCTTTGGCCCGCAGCACATCATTCCACTCGGTGTCTTCATTTGGGTCCTGCAAAATTCCGAGCCAGATGAGTTTTCATTCACAATCCATTTATTTTTGGCCTGCGACTTGCATCGCATCTGCCCAAATATGGTATGGCTGCAGCAAACTCCCACAAAAGTGGCACTCGAAGAGTTTCTAGCACAGCTGGCGCTGACCATCCGTGGAAATGTAGCCTTACCTGCATTTTCAGTGACTATTGCGGTAAAGCGACGTGAGGTGGATAAAACTAAGAGAAAGAACGTGCTGCAAGCGTATAAACTAAAAATAAAACCGAATTACTCACTTTCCAGGTGTCAAACCATCGAGGGCACTATCGATAGTATCGATATTTTACTGATAGCCTCTACTATCGACAGTTTTGCTACTATCATAATAGTATCGAGCTACAGTCGTTGCGCTTTTGATATGTTTGGATTGGCTGCTATAAAATACGAAGACAAATTTGTAAACAAATCGACAGGTGGCATCTAATTTTTACAATGGACAAGTTCCTAAAAGGTTTCAATGGTTTTTTAATAATTATTAGAGCTATCACGATAGTATCGATTGTTTTTTCAAAACATTCGACGTTGATATTCCTCGATATTGATATTCCGTTTAATATTACCAGCTAGCTGGGACTCTCAGCCCTAAACAAATAATTTTATCCGATAGATACATAAATTTTTTAAGAGATTGGCAAGTTTTCAGAAGTCCCTTTTATTGGATTATTTACATATTAAGGTTCAAACAAAAACAGCCAAAGCATAAAACTTAAATGTTGACTAATAGCCTTTTTACACTGGGCGCGTCTGCTACGACGGCTGCGCATGAGCGAAAGGCGTTTACTGGAGCGTGCGTCGATTTGGTTGGGTGGATGACAGAAGACACAAAGAAACAACGATAAGCAAGCGTCAGGAAATGGACGAAAAGTGCAAAAATAAGACTTCATTGTAGAGTTTGTGGGAGTCTCCAAATTATGAAAACCACCGAAGTTCGTCCCAGCAGTGCAATGGCTCGGGGTCAGAAAAATCATATGTAAAAACAATCAGTCAAGTATATAATGACAGTATCACCTGCACAATCAACTTTAGCGCCAAAATTTGTTTTGCTACAATTTTTGTTGTTATTAGTGGTGTAGTGCGCTGTAGGCGAAAAACCAAAAATGAGCAAAATCAATCGAATATACCGAATAGCGCACTGAATCAGACACTGACGCAACGCCACCACTAGGGCCCAGCTAACCTGTAAAAAACGCGTCGCGGCGCGCAAGGCTGCGCAGCCCCAGTGTAAACGGCCTATAAATGTAACGTCATTGTTGCTGGTCAACCAAGTTTCTTCTATGCGTATGGGCTTTGGTATACCTTATTTCCTTTAATTGATGTTAAATTTGTTGTTTCAGGCTGCTTTGAAACATTAATATTGCATTTTCGTAAGATTGAGTTATTTTTTACCTATCTATGCATATGTTTTGTGTTTTATATATACATTTATCTCGGTTCTGATACCTATTATTGGTACCCATGAGCTACACAATTTCGTTGATGTCTTTTAATAAGAGACTGAGCAGTTTCTGCATTACTTGGAGCCTGAAATTACAAACAATATCTCAAGTCCATAATATCAATTTTCCCAAGGTATGTTGTTGCTCATTCCGTGCTAAAGTTGCACAGCATTGCTGCTACTCCATTTCCCCATGCTGCTGAAATTTGTCCCATACAAATCAAATGTATCATACGGGAACGCGTATGGAATGACGCAACAATGAATCTTTATTCCATACGCGTTCCCGTAAGATACATTTGATTTTGTATGGGAAAAATTTCAGCAACATGCTGCCACACCACGAAAATGAGGGGAAAGTCTCCACAAAAACACTCTATACTCTCCACAAATTGAGAGCAAATTTTGCAAACTCTCCACGAATTGAGAGCGAAAAATGTCAGTATTTTTGGTGCGCTAAATTGAGTTTGGCGGTCAATTTGAAATGTGTCTTAATATTTGGAAAAATAAATATTTCACTTGATGAGCGCCTAGATCTCAGAGACTATAAAAGCTAGAGCAGTGTGATATCACACTGCTACAAGTGTATTTCAGAATTTCGCCCCGCCCCCTTCCACCACCGCAAAGAACGAAAATCTGTGGCAGCCACAATTTTAAGCAATCTACCAGATTGCCGAAGATATTAAATTTCAGTTACTTCCCCCACTTCCTCCAGCAAGAGACCCGGTACTCATTCTCTTTCTCGCTCGCACACTCTGCCTCGTTCAGTGCGCGAGAAACTCCAAGCTGAGGAGATGTAGATGTACAATTTTTTTTTTTTAATTTTAAAATTCTAAAATATCATAAGCTCAATAATGTATATACTGCCTGAGTACGGGTATAAGTAGAGTTGCGTCCCCAGAAGCGACTCACACGTTCCTTCTCGTTTCGATATAATTTCTCTCATTTTCTGCCTCCACTTTCCACCGCTCAAATGGCAGAAAACCGTTAAATTCAAATCTGAGATACCAGGCGCACAGAAATCAGCAGAAGGTCGCTGCTATTTTTAAATTCTCGTTTTTTCTTGTTTCTCTTTGTATTTCGTTGCTCTCTCTTTTCGCTCTAATTTTTCTCATTTTCTGCCTCCACTTTCCACCGCTCAAATGGCAGAAAACCGTTAAATTCAAATCTGAGATACCAGGCGCACAGAAATCAGCAGAAGGTCACTGCTTTTTTAATTTCTCTTTTTTTCCTGTTTCTCTTTGTATTTCGTTGCTCTCTCTTTTCGCTCTAATTTTTCTCATTTTCTGCCTCCACTTTCCACCGCTCAAATGGCAGAAAACGGTTAAATTCAAATCTGAGATACCAGGCGCACAGAAATCAGCAGAAGGTCGCTGCTTTTTTTAAAATCTCGGTTTTTCTTGTTTCTCTTTGTATTTCGTTGCTCTCTCTTTTCGCTCTAATTTTTCTCATTTTCTGCCTCCACTTTTCACCGCTCAAATGGCAGAAAATCGTTAAATTCAAATCTGAGATACCAGGCGCACAGAAATCAGCAGAAGGTCACTGCTATTTTTAAATTCTCGTTTTTTCTTGTTTCTCTTTGTATTTCGTTGCTCTCTCTTTTCGCTCTAATTTTTCTCATTTTCTGCCTCCACTTTCCACCGTTCAAATGGCAGAAAACCGTTAAATTCAAATCTGAGATACCAGGCGCACAGAAATCAGCAGAAAGTCGCTGCTATTTTTAAATTCTCGTTTTTTCTTGTTTTTCTTTGTATTTCGTTGCTCTCTCTTTTCCCTCTCATTTGTTTCATTTTCTGCCTCCACTTTCCACCGCTCAAATGGCAGAAAACCGTTAAATTCAAATCTGAGATACCAGGCGCACAGAAATCAGCAGAAAGTCGCTGCTATTTTTAAATTCTCGTTTTTTCTTGTTTCTCTTTGTATTTCGTTGCTCTCTCTTTTCGCTCTAATTTTTCTCATTTTCTGCCTCCACTTTCCACCGCTCAAATGGCAGAAAACCGTTAAATTCAAATCTGAGATACCAGGCGCACAGAAATCAGCAGAAGGTCGCTGCTTTTTTTAAAATCTCGGTTTTTCTTGTTTCTCTTTGTATTTCGTTGCTCTCTCTTTTCGCTCTAATTTTTCTCATTTTCTGCCTCCACTTTCCACCGCTCAAATGGCAGAAAACCGTTAAATTCAAATCTGAGATACCAGGCGCACAGAAATCAGCAGAAGGTCGCTGCTATTTTTAAATTCTCGTTTTTTCTAGTTTCTCTTTGTTTTTCGTTGCTCTCTCTTTTCCCTCTCATTTTTCTCATTTTCTGCCTCCACTTTCCACCGCTCAAATGGCAGAAAACCGTTAAATTCAAATCTGAGATACCAGGCGCACAGAAATCAGCAGAAGGTCACTGCTATTTTTAAATTCTCGTTTTTTCTTGTTTCTCTTTGTATTTCGTTGCTCTCTCTTTTCCCTCTCATTTTTTTCATTTTCTGCCTCCACTTTCCACCGCTCAAATGGCAGAAAACCGTTAAATTCAAATCTGAGATACCAGGCGCACAGAAATCAGCAGAAAGTCGCTGCTATTTTTAAATTCTCGTTTTTTCTTGTTTCTCTTTGTATTTCGTTGCTCTCTCTTTTCCCTCTCATTTTTTTCATTTTCTGCCTCCACTTTCCACCGCTCAAATGGCAGAAAACCGTTAAATTCAAATCTGAGATACCAGGCGCACAGAAATCAGCAGAAAGTCGCTGCTATTTTTAAATTCTCGTTTTTTCTTGTTTCTCTTTGTATTTCGTTGCTCTCTCTTTTCCCTCTCATTTTTTTCATTTTCTGCCTCCACTTTCCACCGCTCAAATGGCAGAAAACCGTTAAATTCAAATCTGAGATACCAGGCGCACAGAAATCAGCAGAAAGTCGCTGCTATTTTTAAATTCTCGTTTTTTCTTGTTTCTCTTTGTATTTCGTTGCTCTCTCTTTTCGCTCTAATTTTTCTCATTTTCTGCCTCCACTTTTCACCGCTCAAATGGCAGAAAACCGTTAAATTCAAATCTGAGATACCAGGCGCACAGAAATCAGCAGAAGGTCGCTGCTTTTTTTAAATTCTCGTTTTTTCTTGTTTCTCTTTGTATTTCGTTGCTCTCTCTTTTCGATCTTAATTTTTCCCATTTTCTGCCTCCACTTTCCACCGCTCAAATGGCAGAAAACGGTTAAATTCAAATCTGAGATACCAGGCGCACAGAAATCAGCAGAAGGTCGCTGCTATTTTTAAATTCTCGTTTTTTCTTGTTTTTCTTTGTATTTCGTTGCTCTCTCTTTTCGCTCTAATTTTTCTCATTTTCTGCCTCCACTTTCCACCGCTCAAATGGCAGAAAACCGTTAAATTCAAATCTGAGATACCAGGCGCACAGAAATCAGCAGAAGGTCGCTGCTTTTTTTAAAATCTCGGTTTTTCTTGTTTCTCTTTGTATTTCGTTGCTCTCTCTTTTCGCTCTAATTTTTCTCATTTTCTGCCTCCACTTTCCACCGCTCAAATGGCAGAAAACCGTTAAATTCAAATCTGAGATACCAGGCGCACAGAAATCAGCAGAAGGTCGCTGCTATTTTTAAATTCTCGTTTTTTCTTGTTTCTCTTTGTATTTCGTTGCTCTCTCTTTTCCCTAATTTTTCTCATTTTCTGCCTCCACTTTCCACCGCTCAAATGGCAGAAAACCGTTAAATTCAAATCTGAGATACCAGGCGCACAGAAATCAGCAGAAGGTCACTGCTTTTTTAAATTCTCTTTTTTCCTGTTTCTCTTTGTATTTCGTTGCTCTCTCTT